CCCGGCCCGCCGCCCCATCCCCGGCGCGCCCGCCCACCTTGTCCATGAGCTTCCAGCACTTCTCCACCATCTTCTTGTCCACGGTGCCGGGCTGGTGCGGGCCGAGGTGGTGGTGGTGCGGCTGGAAGGCGTCCTTCATGAGCCCGATCAGCCCCCCGGGGCCCTTCTTCAGCGGGGCTGACATGGGGGCGGCGGGCGCCCACGCAGGGTCGCGGCGGGGGCTCCGCCGGCCGCGGCTCCCGGCTCGGCCACCGACGGCGGAGGAAGGCGGCGGGGAAGGCGGCTCCGCGAGCGCCGCGGACGCGCCCGACTGACGAAGAAAAGGGAAGCGGAGGGAGGCGGGGGGGAGGGGGAGGAGGAGGGAGGCGGCAGGAAGGGCGGAGGGGCGCGCGCGGCCGTGCGTGCGTGCGTGCGCGCGGCCGCGCGGGGGGGGGGCGAGCCTTCCGCGAGGGGGCGCTCCGATTGGACGAGCGGGAGAGCGCCGCGGGGAAAGAAGGCCGCCCGCCTCACATCCCGCCCCCTCCCGCTCTGTGGAAGGACGCTCTCTGATTGGCCGCTCGGCCTTCACGGCGCCCCTTCCTCTTCTGCCCCCTCCGCGCTACAACGACCACCGCGCGCGCGCCTCCCACCCTCCGGGAAATCGGGAGGCGGGCCCGTGATTTGCCGATCCCTCAGGAGCCGTCGCTGCGGGAGGCGTGTTCTGATTGGTCGGCACTGGAAAAGGGGGCGGGGAGAACGAGCGGCTTTAAAAGACGCTGGTGCGCTTGGCTTTTATCATCGGTCTGTTCCGATGTGCATTTCCTCTAGTTTCTCTTTGTTTTCGGTGTCTTGATCGCTATTGTTCAACAAGAGAAAGAAGAAAACTCGTCGTCCCCTTCTGTCCTCATCCATTGCACAGGGACGGAGCCACCCCAACCAGAGTTTAATTAGCATAGCCACGCCCAAATACTGGCTAATCAGCATAGCCCTGCCTTGCTGGGTTTGGCTTTTGTGCTGGCTGTTGCGCAGGGCCTTGGGGGCGGGGCGGAAGCGAGAATGGGCATGCGCAGTTTCGTGAAGTCGCAACCAGAGTGGCCATGATGAATTTGGGCAGTTGGCCAGGCCTCTCCGGCAGAAACTGAAAACTGCACGTATGCCCCTGTTCTAAGGAGGGCTTCTGCCTTGAAAGCCTTGCTAGAAATCTTGCAGATAAATAAACCGATGTCCTATCTGAATATGCAAATTATATACTAATAAGGAGTGAAGCTTGCTGTTGTTTTAATAACTGCTAGCAAGCCTGAATGAGCTAGCAATGAACCTGATGGGGCAGTGAATGGCAAGCATTGGAAGCGACGGGGAAGGGCGCGGGGGTGGGAGCGAGCACTAATTATTGTGAGCCGCCCCGAGGCTTCGGCGAATGGGGCGGCATAAAAATGTTTTAATAAATAATAAATAAATAAATAAATAATAGGTTGATCATCGGTAGAACATCTTTCTTTTCATGTCTTACATCAACACCATTGCTCCGTGTTGCTTGTGAAATGTCATTCTTTGCAAACTTGTGTATCCTTGCACAAGTATCAAGAGCGCAATAGAACTATCTTGCGCCTGTCTTGAAACCCCTGTGCTGTTGACCAGTTGCTTTCTGGGCGCAATTTAAGGTATAGGTTTTAATCCTGTGCATAGGAATTTACCTATAACCCCTAAGGAGAAGTCCTTTTGAGGGCAGGCATTATTTACAGAAGCCTTGTTTTATTATCTTTTTATCCTACCTTTTCCCTGCATTGACCCCAAGGTGGCTCCATTTAATCTTTACAACAACCCTGTGAGGCAGATGTGACTGGCCCAAAGTCTCCCAGTGAGTTTCATGACCAAGGGGGGACTCAAACTGGAGTCCCAGTCTATCCCCAAAGCCCTAGGGCACCCTGGAGTGTGTTTAATATAAATAAGAAACCTGGTATGTGTTTGCTATGGACACAGAAGGGTGCAGTGAAATTGCTGAAAGGATAGGCAGATCTGATATGTGGGAAACTGTAATAGGGACAACAGAAAGCGGGCTTCCTATTTTGAAATAGCCGAGTGCTTTTGTTGGGCGTTCATCCACGCCTTTCTCGCAAGTAAGAAGTGTTGATCCAGCAGAACATCCTGTTCTGGAATGGGCTTCATGAAGAGCATAAGGAAGGACCACTTCTGTGGCAAAGGGAAACCTGCTGTGCTCGCTAGCCTTAAATTACACGGACTGTTTTTCCTGTTGGAAGGCCAGGGTAACCAGTGCCAGTCGGCTGGCTGGGAGGCGGTGTTGAAATGCGGCAGACAGAAACTGAAATGCTTTGAACTGCTGAGTCCTTTATTCCTGAGCCGCAGCAAACACCAGTGGAAGAATACTGGTGCCACATCTCCTTTCCCTCTCGTGCGTCATCTTCTGTGAGGAATGCTCTTGCACAATGGGCCTGTGTGGTTTCGCCCACACACCAATCTTGCTCCTAACCTAGCAAGATCAAAAAGGAGAAGGACGGCACTTCTCTTTTCTCACTGTGCGGAGCTCTGCCTGGCACGGACTATCTCCCCCATGCTGGCCAGGGTCTCCATTGCCATATGCGTCAACAGGGCCTCTGGATGGTCAGGAGTGCGGAGGAGCTGCCTTGGGCTGAGCCAGGCAGTGGCCCGGCTGAGCTTGCATCGGCCACTCTGACCGGACGTTGCACCATGTGGAGGACGTGTCCAAGGCTGCCATGCACATATCCGTGTGGGGCAGGGGGTGGGGAGGCTGGGCTCGGCCTCAAAAGGAGCCTGGGCCTGGCCTGGGCTCAGCCATGGAGCCAACTGGGTGACTTTGGGCCAGCCACAGACTCTCAGCCCAACCTACCTCACAGGGTTGTTGTTGTGGGGTTACGATGGAGGAGGAGAATGATGTAACCTGCCTTGAGTCCTTTGTAGGAAAAAGGCAGGATATAAATCGAAAAATAAAATAAATAAAATAAAAATAAAAGGAGCCTGCACCAGAGGGAAATGTAATCTTCCCAGCTTTTGGTTGCCCCGGGGCTCTCTTGGCTCCATCCCAGCTCATACCTGCTAGCAGAACTGGACCAGCAAAATAGGTTTAGTGGATCAACTGTGGGAAGAAAGGGTGGTTGAACTGGTGGAGCAAAGGAGACGCTGATGCACCTGTCCTGCATAGCTGTCTCTCAAGCCGGTGTATTGGATCCCCTTGGCTAAGCCAGAGGCGTCCGGGCTACGGTTGCATGGGTGACCCCACGTGGAAACGGAGCTGTGTGTGGGGCTTGAAGGCCTTGGGGCCCCTTCCAACTCAGCTACTGCGCTGCCTTGTCAAATAAAGCAAATGCATGGCTACTAAGTGGCTGCCTTCACGTACAGTTTAGCATTCAGACGGAGCTTTGCTCTGCTGCTCATCTTTGCATCCGCCTGGCCAAGAGGCAAAGGGGAGCTCAGTCTGTCCCTCAGCAGTCCTCTTTGTTGGAGTTGGCAGAGACTGACCCTGCGGCTTTTTATGAGCACAGCGCCCACCCTCTTGTCTCTGTATCCCCACCTCCTCAACCCTCACATTCGAGTGAGTTTCACGCAGAGAAAACCAACGAAGGCCCACCCCAAAGCAGCAGAGGGCCAACTCTATGAAAAGTGGGACAGACTAGCTCCCAGAAAGTTCTGTGTCTGTCTGTAAATGCACATGTTTTGCGAGCAACTATTGGGTCTCAGAAACCACAGTGTGTGGTCGTTGAAGAAACTGCATTTTGTTTCTTAAACAACAAAGCTTTTCCAAGTTAGTGAGGATGTTATTGGATATAAAAATAAAAAATGCCAGAAAATAAACTGACAGGAGGGGGTGGGAAGAAGGTTCCAAGGTTGCCAAATATTAATAAAAAATAGATAGGCCTGATCGGCACCTGTTTGGGACACACACTTCGGCCCCAAGAAAATTGCTCTGCTTATGAAGCAGCCTTCCCCATCCTCATGCCATGCCCTCCAGAGGTTTTGGGCTACAGTTTTCATCCCCAGCCTGGGGGGCTGTAGTCCAACAACTCTGGGGGCACCAGGTTAAGGACAGCTGTTCTAAAAGAACAAAGTGGAAATGTCTTGCATCCTGAAAGCAAACTCAGGCTTGTGAGCAACTCGGTGGCTTTGGGGCGCTGTGCATTTTGAACAAATGCAAAAGCAGGGAGAGTCTCAAAAGACAGCCAGATCTGCTCGGGATCATGGAGCGCTGAGCTGGGACTGAAATGGGGGCATGAGGGGCATGCAATGGAGCATCTGGGGGGGGGGGGCTGGAACCCCAGAGAGGAGACATCTCTGGTGCAGGGCCTGTTTGGAAATAGCCCACTGCAATATGCTGTATAGAGCAATAAAGAAGGTGCTTTCCAGAGTGGCACCAACCAAAAGCAACTCAGAAACTATCCCTGCCCAAGAGAGCTTCAGTCTGATTTTCAGCAGTGGAAGGGATGGAGAGTCAGTGAAGGCAGGAAGAAAACTGCTTCTTAGGTTTCTTCTTAGGCTGAGGACATGGGACCTGGTCAAGTTAAGCCAAGCATTTCATGGAAAAGCTGCATTGACTGAGTACATCTGCAAAGTACAGCCTGCACCTGTTTGATTGCGCCTCTCCTCCCCTGCCCCATTTTTCTGTGGGTCTAAAAATCCCCTTTCTTCTTACGGGACAGCTCCATGCAGCTTTCCAGACGTGCTTTGCTGGAGATGGTTGTACCCCAAGCTTTCTTTGGTCGCCATGGCAGCAAACAGGGACTGTTGCCTGGCTACATGGACAGACCCAGGTTGCACCAGCCGGGATAGGCTTGCCAAAATCCAGGCGCCGCTTCCCCTCCTTACTTATTGGCTGCGTGGAATGACACTCACAGAAAGAGCTCGGATTTTTCTGCTGGGGAACTTCCAGCAACTGCGAAGCCGGAGGCACGCATTTTCCAGGTACTTCTTCTCCAGCGCGCTCTTGCACCTTAGTAGCCTTCATGATTTAGTTATTTGTTTATTTATTTCTAAATATTTAATTAGTGCGGGCGGCGTGCGTAAAACAGCCTGCTTCGGCACCGGTTTAAGGTTCCGGCAACGGAGCGCTCTAAAAACACCCCATGGGGGTTTCTCCGTTCCCATTTTCAGGGCGCTTGCAAGAATGGCCCCTACGAAGAAAGGGAAAGGGAAGAGAGCGCGGAAGCCGAAGGAGAGGTCCGTGCCAGGTGAGGCCAGAGTCGCAAGACGAGGGCTTCCACCGTTTGCACATTCCTATATATACGTGTCATACGTGTCGTCTGGATCTTACTTAGGTGCACTCGCTCATTCAGGGTGTTAATACTTCCTAGAAATCCTTCCTGCCTTTCCGGCTCCTGAATTGTGTATAGCAGAAGCGAGGACCTGGCGCACAGTGTTGCCTGACCCAGCCCTGGCAACTGGACTTTCCACTTCTTGCTCTGCTTTTTATTACTTGTTCTCTCCTTGGTTTCTCGTTCATCAGAATATGACCTTTCCACCCCATCCCGACCTGGTGTGACTTAGCACGAAGCTTCCCACCTTCCCGCAGTGCTTCGATCTTTCTGTTTCCTTCTAGACCTGCATCGGGCGCTTCGTTGATGTCTCAGCCTTGGCCCTGAGAACCATCTTTGGCTTTTGCTTCCACTCAAAGGGAATTTGGACTTGGGAATGTTCAGAGTTCATCGCATTAGTGCAAGAATCACTGAAAGGGGATGAAGAGAGTAACAACCGCTGCATTACTTCTGCACAGAATTGTGATTGCTTAACTGTTGTTTGGCTTAGCCTCTTGGCTGCTATCTGAAAGTACTTACTTCCGAGGAGGAAGACTGAGTGGCAGTAGGACTTACTTCAGAGCAGACACGCATCGGATGTGCTGTGCTTTTCTGAATAGCTGTGAGGCTTAGCTCTGAACAGATACCACACATTTATTTGCCCCCACCTCCAACCACTCCCAGAACTTGGTTTCCTCAAGTGTAAGTTGACCCTGGTTCTAAAAAAGAACCCCCCATGTACAGTCCAGAAATGCAGGGTGGGATAATTTTCCAGTGCGTAATTTTCCTGCACAGAATTTTCCATTTCGCAAGTTCATTAGTAAAAATGCACGCATGCCTGTTGCAAATACAATGACAGGCAAGCTTATCGGTTTCGAAGTTGTAATTGACACTTTTGAGGGATCACTCCTGCTGAATATGCGAGATCATACTTAAATGTCATTAAACCACATGCATGTTTCAAGTGAAATAAAACTCATAAATAATAAATGGACTCAAAAATAGAAACGGAAGGTGCTCAAATAACCTCAGTGGAAAAGAGCTGAGCTCTGTTGAAATGTAGTAGTTTTCAGCACATCTTACATATTTTGGGGCTGCTAAAATTAGTTTGTGCATCAACAGTATTCAATAGCCATTTCCCTCTTAAACAATGAAGTACGCAATTAAAAGTTCTCCATAACATTTACATCACATCAAAATGTTCGTATTTTTCTTCAAATATTTCAGAACAAAATACTTGTGGTGTCATTGGGATAATAAACTAATATGGGGTACCTCTTCGGCTGTCTTGTTCATTACATGCATGCAAAATAATAATGCTAAATTAGACAAGTTGAAACCATGTCTAATAATGCCAATGACGCCTTGTCTGCAACAGCCAGCAGAGTTGATGGCGAGGGATTATGCATGTTGTAGGGGTAAAATGCGTGGAGGCCCAGAAGTTGTACAGCTGACCACAGGGCACGAGAGTAATTTTTGATTATACCTGAAAAAGTTCTTAGAAAAATGATCCTAGCAATTGGGAACCAGGCAAGTCCTTTACGCTCTTGCTCTCTCTCTCTCAGCAGATGAGGAGGAAACACTTAAGAAGACAACTCTGGAGGTTCACACTCTGAAAGATCACCTTGGTGAGGAAATTTCCGTGGTGCTTCTGGTAACTTAGCTGGGAGTGACTATTGTGTATTATTAACAGTGCCAATCATGGAATGCCCACCCCCTCCTTAGGCAGCTGGGTCCATTGTCTGACTTATAAATAAAATAAAATAAAACAAAACTTGCTGTGGGGTATTTCTAGGCTGTCCAATCACACTGAGTCACTGGACGGCTTCCAAGTTTTTCCTGATGTTCAGTTCAAACTTGCCTTCCTGTAATTTAAGCCTGTTTGTGTGCATCCTAAAGTCTTGGAGACAGGAAACAGGATGCACACTCCTTCGATGTGACAACCCTTTAGCTGCATGAAAAGTGCTAAGATATTCCCCCTCCGCTTCCCCAATAGGCTACAATTCCTTATTGTCTCCATTCCATCTTATGAAGAGCTCTGTGTAAGCTGAAAACTTGCATCCTTTTCTGTGAATGAAAGCTGATTCGGTATAAGGCAGACTGTTTGGCTATCTGGTATCATGCATGCTCTGATGCAGACACGATCCTTTGTCTCAAGGGGCTGGGGAGACGGGGAACTAGGCAGCCTCTCTCCTGAGCACCATCTTTCTGGCCTGCAGTTCTCCGGAGGGATGTGGCCAGACAAGCAACGGCCGACAGTGAAGGGCTGAAGCAGAGGCTGATGGAACTGGAAAAGGAGCTGGAAGAGGCCCGAGGTGACAAGAGAGATATTTACGAAGGTGTGTTTGTGTCTATGGTTGCCATGCCAGTCCCTGGGCGGACGTGACTCCAGTTATCCAAAGAGCAGATTTGAGGAACGGTTACAGGGTCAGTTCCTTAATTCCTTTTGCGGGACCGATTTGGATTCTCTGCCTTGTGCATAAAAACATTTAGGGAAGCCTTCCAGACAGGGAGTTCGGGGCTTTCCACCTCTCTCATCCAGTGATAGTGAGAAGATGGACTTGTGGCGCAATCATAGACATATCTACTCGGAAGTAAGTCCTATTGTTTTCAGTGAGGCTTAATTCCAGCTAAGAGTGTATAGGATTGCATAGCTTCAGTTTACCTTCGTAAGAAAGTCTGGGGCACCTATTTATAACTCAAGCAAAGCATCATCCTCAGGGTCTCATAGGCATTTCTCATTAGCACCGAGACTGCCAATTCATTTTTCATAGCCCGGTTACTGGCCTGCATCTTTTGCATTGATACATCTAATGTCAGAGGCTTATTGCCTGTGGAAGCTCAATACCAAAGGCTTTTTTTTCTCATAGTCAAGAACATCGGCTTTCTGGGACAAAGTTTCTTTCCATGGCTGCTGACAATGCCAGTCATTCCACACACAGGACTTCATAACGATCCTTCTTTCGCATCTTCATTTCCCCCACTTGGTGTGACATCTATTTAAGCTCCTTGGGGCAGAGACCTGCCCTTTTGACTTGCCTCACACTGGCAAGCCCCATACAAAGCTCACGTGATAACGAGAATTCTTAGGCCTCTTAGTCTTGGGTGGGAGTAGCAGATGAAGAGGTTGCTCTGCTCTTCCATCTCCTTTTTCTACCATTCCAGAGATGATCCGCCAGTACCAGCAGCTTCAGCGCCAGACCAACACTCAGATACAGCGCCTAGAAGAGGAGAAGCAGAACTTGCAGAAGCACCTGGGTAGCACACATACACGCTCGGCCTTTGCAATGATGTTGCGGCTTTATAGCAACCATGTTCCAGCATCCCTGATCTTTCACTTGACGAATGCTCCTGGAGAGGATGGTGGGATGGAAACTACTAATCAGGTCATCACAGATTTTTTCCAAGCAGTATGTTTTATTAACATACAAATCTCCCAGTAAAATTAGTAGTAAGAAAAAAAAGTTTTCCGATCAGTTGTTTGCTGACTGGTTGCAGAAGATGAAAGCTGTGTGTCCAGGGGTTGGTGTCACCAGAGAATAAAATTGCAAGAAGGCCTGTTTTGGGGAAACACATAGCTGTGGATTAATCCTGCCTCCATAGTCTGGGAAAACTGGTTCAAGCTGCAGCCCACCCCATTTCTATTCAAGCAATATGTTCTGGCCTATTTTAACCCAGACAAAATGTGAGCGTAAACTCATGAGAATCTGTTCAGTTTCGCCCTATTTAAAGGCTGTGGGTGTTTGAGTCACCTTGTCTTTAGCGTCTTAATCCACGTTTCTTCCAAGCTATGTAGGACCTACAACCGCCTTTCCCAGCATCTGCTCAGCTTTCCACCCCACACATCTGTGCTCCCTCTTCCTCCCTGCCCTCTCCTACCCCACTTCTGCTCAGCAGCTGCTTGTCAGGAGGAAGTACGGCAGAGCCGGGCCGACCAGGCGAAGACACTGGAGGAGAAGGACCAAGCTCTTGCAGAGATGCAGCGCAAGGTGGATGTGATGGAGACAGGATATGAACAAATTCTGCATGTGAGTTGGGCAGTGTGCCCAGACCTCAAGCAGTCCAAGTGAGATCAGGCAGGGGGCAATTTATGAATTGTTACCACAACCTAAAGAAAGGGATCCCATGATTCCCACCGCTTTTTAGCTCTGCAACATCTAGGAGCTACACACACTTCCATGGGTCCTGGGCTGCTCTCCCATGCAAGGCACTCCAAATCAATTTGCCCCGCTTTCAGCAAGGTGGTCCCATCCTTGAAACAGAGTTAAAGAAGAGCTGAGGTTTCACTTTGAGCACCTGGGCCTGAAGAAGCATTCCATGCAATGCCTAAGTGTACCTTCCACGATTGTCTTACATTCTGCAGACCAACAAGTGACGGAAGCGAGCTTTCTAAGGCCTCAGGTTCATTCTGAGAGCTCTCCTGGATAGATGTCCCACCCTCTTTGCCTTCTAGGCAGGCAGCCCCAGAATGGGCAGGTCTTTCGCCTCGGCCGTCTGCCCTTGACCTCACATGGCCCCTTGCTCCTCCTTTCCTCAGGGCAGTCTGGATTGTTTGCTCTCCAAGCTGCAAACCACCAAGCTCAGCTGGGAGAAGCAAGCCACATCCATCCATCTGGAGTATAAGGACCGGCTGAAGGAGTTTGGGCTGAATCCGCTGGAGATGTGAAGGAGCATTCAGACTGATAGACCTCCGCGTCCTTCAGCCTGGGGCAGTGCCGTGGTTGGTCCCGAGTTTGGGATTAGCCCTAAAGCTGGTGGAGTAATAAAGCATGCAGCTCTGAACGTGTGCAGAATGCTTTTCTGTCATTAATCCAATCTCCTTTTGACTGGGTCTCAGAGGGGGAAGAAGGTTCAGAACACAAAGCCCTGGTTCCTCCCTCTTCCTAGACATGACAGTATTTCAAAACAGAGGTTAATTTCTGTTCAACAAAACTTGGTTCCTCTTCCCATCACCCTCTGTCTTCAAAGTCACTCTCCAGCACGGTCACAGGATCAGCTCCGGTGGGTTCTCACGCTTTTCCAAGAATCCTCATGGAGTCTGCCTCTGATCCCATTCTGCCTGGACACTGTGGCCCGGTTTCAAGGATCTGCAGGGAGCATGTGCAGAGTGCAAAAACAGACGGATTGATGAAGCGGTCGTGGGGCGCAGGAACAATCTGGCACCGGGGCAGGGGTCTGGTTGCAACATTGGCATCATGCAAAGGTGCTCCCTTCCAGGACAGCTGCAGAGCCGGCAGGAGGTCTCCTCCTTGGCCAGGGTGATGAGGCAGCGCCTAGAATGCCTGGCTCACAGCATCCGGGCCCTGTGAGAAACAGGGGGAAAGGCAAGCTCAGGGCACAGCTGGGTTTGGAAGCAGCACTGAGGAGGACGGGCAGGGACACAACCGTGGTGAGGAGCGGCTGCCTCCAGGCAAGCAAGCACTGAAACGTAAGGAAACTGGAAAGGGGTCCTGCTTTCCGGCCACTGAGCATGCTTTGTAGGGTTACCGCAAGGTTGGCTTAGGACGTCTGTTAACATTTGTGAGAACAAGTGCAGAGGCTGGCCTCCCGTTAGGCAAGGTCAGCAGCAGCTTGTGAGTGAGAGAGAAACCTCTGCGCTGAGAAGTCTTTTCTGCAGCGCTTCACCGAAACTAGCAGGATTTTGTGTTCCCTTTTTGTGAACCTGGAGGGTTGTGATGCAGCGTTGCTCAACCCGGCAAGGCTTTTCCTTCTGCCCTCCTTGCCCGCCCCAACCCCTTTCGGGGGCACTTGCTGAAGTAAATCAGGCTCCTGTTTTTGCCGTTGCATCTGCTCCTCCAGGTTTGGCTACGTTCTTGCCCGCGTGCGCTTCCCCTCTTTCTGCCTCAAATTTCTTCTCGGAAATTCTCCCTGTAATCTGTTTTTGTGAACAGGGGTGATCTTAGGAGGAAGGGGCCTAAAAGCATGCAAACTTTAGGGCATATGTAAATCGCATACATCAGAATGTGCAAATGAATGAATTCTGTATTTGTCTTGTTGGTCTGAGCCCCGGAACGGGCTAGCAGTGCCCGCGAGTGCTTTTCCCTCACTGGGAAAAGGTTATCAGAAAGAACTGGGCTTTGGCCCATCTCTTTGCAACACCCTTGTCTGTCTGTCTGTCTGTCTGTCTTTTTAATGAGAAAGCATGAAGTCATGTGAATGCTGCCATGCATTGGTACAGGCCGTGTGATCCACGGTTTGCAAAGAACATCAGATGTAAAGGCAAAAAGCTGGAATTCAATGCTGAAAACAGCTGAGAGACATGCAGGGAATTGTGCAGGTTGCTGCACCTCCCAAACAGGTAAGATACCTCTTTTGCAAAGGCCCTGAAACTTCCATCATGCTGGTGCGGCTCCAGTGCATTCTCACGGGGCTCCGTATTGAGATGGGAGAGCGGAGGTGTTGAGCCAGGGCTGCAGTCTTCCTGAAGTGTGGCGGAAGAAGATGAGGCATGGCTCACTCGCAAGCCTGACCGAGGCTCTTCATCATTGTAGAAAAGAAGAGGTGATAATCCAACCTAAGCAAAGCAAGAAAACACCAACCCAGCCGGAGTGTCAGCAAATCCAGCAGAATCTAAAGACTGATAACTAGGGTATTTAACAGAATCATGGCAGGTAACCAGCTAAATCATGCATCCAACCCTCCTTGGCCACCCGGATCTTGGAGGCATTTATGCAGTTGGGCTCTGACGGCCACCCCCAAAGGATGCCGCAGCTCCAGTGCCTCAGTCTTCCCTGCTTCGACCGATGGAAGAGAGAGGCACAGATGCCCCTTTGATGCACGCAGGTTTCCTGCTCACCCAGAGCCGGCCGTGGTCACAAACGGGGGCTGTGCACTAGTTGTGCAGCAACGCAGTGCCGGGGAAGCTGGGGGAGCCAGGTGCTGCTTTCTCCCCCGCCCCCCACGGAGCGCTGCGTGGCTTGCAAGCCGCTGCGCATTACCAGATCGTAGAACTTGCTTCCCTCGGCGTCAATGACGAGCAGCGTGACCTGAATGGCATCTGCCCGGATCTTCAGCACCACCTCCTGGTGGTCGAGCTCCTCCACGCCGTCGCCATTAACAGCCAGGAGGCGGTCGCCATCTCTCATCCCGGCCTTCTCGGCCGGCATCCCGGCATCCACCTCCCTCAGGAACTGGCCTGCAAAGTCACACACGGGAGAGGTGATGCGGGACGCTCTGGCACAGGACGATTTCCAGAGCCTGCACTTTACAAGCTCGCACATATTTGGGGTGCCCTGACAACACACACAGGCTGTAGCAGGAAAGTGAGGCACGTTCACCTCCATTTCTCACGCTAGAAAACATGGTCCTTGGCTTGCTGTTTTGTGCAGAGAAAGAAAACTTTGAGGGAGAGACAAAGAAAGACAAAATGCTCAGCTCCTGATCCCAGGAAGTGGCAGTGCACAGGAGGGCTACCTACTTCCCACTGTTAAATGTTACTGCTCAGTCAAGTGAAGGGCTCAATAAAGGAGACGGATTGCCATATAAATACCCAAGCCATTGCCTGGTCATCACAGCCAAACATTAACTCCACTCTTCCAATTAATATCAAGGGTGGGCAATTGGCTGTGATGACGGTATGACCTACAACTCCCATCATCCTTCGCTAGTCCTCCTTTACACAGCATTGGAGAGACCTCATCTGCAGTGCTGAGTCCAGTTCTGGGCACCACAGTTTAGGAAAGATGCAGACAAGCTGGAAGGGGTTCAGAGGAGGGCAGCAAGGATGATCCGGGCACTGGAAACAGCCTTAGAGGAGAGGTTGAAAGGGCTGGGAACATTTAGCCCCGTGAAGAGAAGACGGGAGGCAGAAGCAGGTGCTTCCAGGGGCACCTTACCATACTTTCCAGAGGCACATTTCTCTTCCTTCAGCAGGAATCCGTAACCGGCTGGCCCTCGCACCATCGGGAGCTTCCGCACTTTGAAAGGAACCCACGAGGCGTCTGCCATGGCAGCTGTGACTTTAATGCCGTGCTGCCGGTAGAACTCCTCTGACTCTGCATCTATCACCAAGAGTCCTATTGGGCTGCTGCCGTTTTTGAGCTGCAATGCAAACCAGGCACACAAACGGGGCGTGTGGGGAGGGGAGAAGCAACATGGCAGCCCTACGTTCAGAGCTGGCCCCAAAGGGCATCTTGTTGGGCTGGTTCTGCTGGACAAAAGGGCCAGTCTTCCCTCCGTACCCTGCAAGGTGGTCACAGCATCAGCTTAGTGCACTGTGATAGACTGGGGATACTGGGAACTGTAGGCCAACTCATCTGGAGAGCACCAGGTTATGGAGAGACTTACTGCAAAATTCCTTCCTCTCCTTGATGCTGTCCAGAAGATTTGGACTACAGTTCCCAAAACTCCTGACAGGGAGTGGTGCTGTCCGCAACTGATGGGAGCTGAAGTACAAAGCATCCAGAGGTCACTGGGACAGGGAAGCTGCAGTAGCAGATCCCTATTTTCTAAAGCAGCATCTTTCTGTTGAAAAGGTGTTGAACTTGTTAATGGGGGAGGAATTCAGCCAGTGGACTAAAGGGCCGATGATGAATCGGGGTCCATTTCTTTAAGCCAGTCCTGGTACCTTTTTGTTCAGCCGGGCAGAGGTCCAGTTCTCCACACGGGCACCATTCAGCTCCAGAAGCCAGGAACCGTCTGGCACACCGGCCTTGTGCGCCGGCCCATCCAGGGTCACAGAAAGCCGGAAGGTGCCCTCCACGCCTGAAAAGAGCACGGCTGAAATCTTGGGACCCCAAGAACCCGCTTTCACATCACAACAGCCCATGCTGTTCTAATTTTCCTGCAGGGGAGGTCCTTTGGTGCCCATGTTGCAGTGGCAGGGGTTGACTGAAGGGTGGACAACCCATAAAGAGCCCCTGAATCAAGCCACGGACTAAGCACCAGGTGGTCTGGCCCCTCGCCAGTCCAGCACTCCACCGATGAGGCTGCCCATTGTGGGTTGCTGAGGAAAGGCGGGCTGTAAGTTGCTCTCTCCTGCTCTGGGTGGTTTGATCCACGGGCTGTCATTACACGTGAGCCAGTCCTAGCAGGCATTTCCACTTTCCCGGGAACCCCAGCAACAGAGCACTCCAACAGAGCATTCATGCGATCCTTGAAGAATCCGTCCTTATCTTGGGGTAGAGCTACCGTTCCATGGACATATCGTGGGAGCAGTACTGCTAACTGCCCTTGGAGGGGAAGCAGTGGTCCCTCTTGTGGAATAAAACCGAGTAAGCATGGTGGAGATGCGCCCTTTGAGACGGGCCCAGGAACGGCCTCTGGTAGATATCATCCTTCGCCCCAGTAACTCGACTCTCTTCGCTCCCCCACAACTCTTTATCATCCCATCCCTTGCAAATAAATGCATTTCACATTTGAATCTGGAAAGCAGAATAAACAAAACAAGCCACGCATTCTTTGCTACCTTCTGGAGATGAAAAGCTGAATCCAAAACCACTTCGGTCCTTGGTGATGTGGCACAGCCGAGGCCTGTTGTGACAAGGCAGGAGCTGGGCAAGGTCCCGGTCAAGGGCCTTTGCCAAGTCATAGGTGTTCCCGTCCAGAACGGTGAGCGAAATCTGCTTCCCACTGTGTTTGATCTTCCATACCACCTGCAAGAGAGCCGAGGCTGCACTCTGGACTGGAGTCCTGATCGGGGTTCCCCCCATGGCCCTGCCTGCTTTCCACCGACCACAAATGGCTAGTGCTCGCCCAACTTCAGTGCACTGTTTCCCCTTTTTACAAAAGTTGAAATGCCTCTCCTAAGGGTCAGTTAACAACAGGAGGCGCTTTTGGCTCAAGTACCCTGGTTCTTTGCAGCTTGCCCATCTTTGCGTTGCCCTCACCCGCTTCTGATTTTAACCCTGGTCATCTTCTGCCTTCCACTGGACCGTGTCCCCCAGAAGCGTCTCTGAAATGGACTGTCTGCAGGCTGGAAGAAGGCCACCATCCTTCAGAGCTTCAGAGGAGACAACCCACATTTTGAACTAGATTTGAACATGTTCTGAGAAACAGAACATGGAACGGAATGGAATCAGAAATGCGTTTAAGAGGAGAACTTAGCTAAGCAGCATCCAAGCAAATTTGTGGTTGGTCCGAGATTCTGGGGCCTATACATGTTTGTGCTTTTGCGTTTATTTTTTCAAAGAAACAAACAAAAGAGCTGTTTTCGCAATGCTTTTTTAGGGTGGCATCTCAATTTGGCAATAAATAGGAACAAAATCATGTGCTTTGACTAGTGGACAGTTCTCTGAGTGGGATGGTGTGACGTGGCATCCTGCAACAGCGGGGGGCTGGACCTGATGCCCTTCATGGCCCCTTCCAGCTCTGCTCTTCTGTGACTCTAGGTGGAACCCCCATCAGCTTCGTTCTACATGGGTGCCAACGTCTAAACACGCTGCACGGGAAGTTCAATGTAGACCGTGTTGCAATGCATGGATGATACTGACCTACCTCACAGGATCGTTGTGAAGATTATACTGCCTGTTGCAGGCAGTTGCTTGAGGTTTTGGGGGTGGGTGGGATAGGATTATGAAGAGGAGGAGGAACAAGTTCCCCAGGCTATTTCCCCTTTGTCGCAGCTCATTACTCACTGTTTTCAGTAACTGGGGAGGCATCATTTGGCAAAGGTTAGGAAAAGTTAGGGAAGGGGCTTGCGGGTTTAATTCATAATCCAAGGAGGCCTCAAGGAAGGGACGGTTTGCGGCAGATGGGCAGCCGGCAAGCAGGTGGAGCTGCCATTCTCCACCTCACCCGCCACCAGGCCTTACCTGGAAATGCTCCATGTCTTCCACATACATGCCGTTCACCTCGAGGATCCGGTCGCCATCCCGCAGGCCCCTGCGGTGGGCCAGCCCCCCCCGGCGTCACCTGCCTCACGATGTGGCCACTCTTGCCCACCTCCTGCCGCAGCCAGAACCCGAAGCTCTCGCCCTCTTCTTTCTTCAGAAAGCAGAAGCGCAGCTGCGAAGCTCCTTCCGGCTCTGCGGTGGACAGAATCCAGCAGACTGAGAAGGCGCCGGTCCCCCGCCACACCTGGCCACCTTTGCGGCCCAGCAGGCCCTGCCGTCCAATCTCAGGCCGCCTGGCTGTGCTCCTCTTGATCTAAGGCCAGTAGCGAGGAAGACGGCACCTGGTGCAGAAGGCGGCGGCCAGTTGCGCAGCCTCCGTCCCACCAGCTTCCAGCGAGGTCCTCTTTGCTTGGCTCAGTTTGCAAGATTGGCCCAGGCAAGACTGGAGAGGAAGGCTGCTGATGCTAGTGGAGCAGAGTCTGCTAGGGGCATCGCCACCCTGGTGCGGACAGGGGAGGGGGGCATCAGTTTCGGGGGGAAGAACCCAGGAAGGAAGATGCACTGGCAGGGCAGCTAATCAGGTGCTTTGGATGCTCTTACCGGGACCGGCACATGGGATGTGGAACGAACCGGCCCACTGCAGCAGCAGCACTAACCCCGCAGGGCGTCCTCTGGGACGAGCCCTCATTCCAGCCCCACTTGCACAGCGGGATGCCCGGGGGACTCTTCCCCACAGCCAGGAGGCCCACTCTCTCCACCTCCACACTGGGGAGCTCCTGCCCAAGCCGGAGGCACCCTTTGGCCTTAGGCTTAAACAGGGTTCCTTTTAGATGCAGTTGCCTATTGGTTAGAGCACTGGGAAGACCTGGGTTCAAATCCCTGCTCGCTTTTAGGACATTCATTGCCTCCTGGAATTTACCTCACAGGATTGTTAGGTAGCCTGGAGAACAAGCTACCCTCAAGGAAACTCGCTTCTCTGCGTTTCTGCATGAGTCACTGCTCTGGTGTGGTTGCGCGTTGGGAGGAGATGAGCACCGAAAGGTGACCGATTCACACAACAGGGGACCTCCTCCAATGGGGCATCAGTGCAGGAGGTCTTTGCACTGGGAGAGACTGGACGATGAGGGACAGCACGACAAGAAGCCAGACTAGAGCAGTAAATCATGCAGAGTTGCAAGGTGTGGCCCCTCCAACAGCAGGTCCTTCTGTCGAGCCTGTACAGGATCGCAGCCGAGGCAAAGGCCCAGGTCCCAGGGGAACTGTTTCTCATGAACAGTGATTCATGCAGAGCCCCGACAGGCAGCCTCCTCTGTATATAGTTCCATTCAGCTGGATTCCTTCCTTCCTTCGTTCTAGCCATTGTCTCAAGATATTCACAAGGTGTTGAGCCTGCCCTGGTACGGCTCAGGGAGCCAGGGCAGGGGAGTGAGTCCACCTCCCCGTAGGGCAGGGAATACAGCCAGCAATGCCCAGATCTGCCCAGATCCTGAATCGGAAGGAGACTAAATCCAACCTCTTTGCAAACTCCCCCAGGGGAAACAGCTGGGCCTTCCTTTCCCACCCACACAGCCTCCCCTCCTCTTACCAGAATCCTCTGCCAGAGACAGTGCCGGGTTATCAATCCCATCTCTTGGGTTAAATGCAAAGTTCCTGCAACATCAAAAGGAAAAGGGAAGCATCCTTCACAAACTGCTAGGAGGCATTCGAGGGTTTTTGCCCTTCCAAACCTGCTTCTTTTCCAAGAGAAACATTTCAAGCTGTCCACCAGTTGCTCGTGGCTTTTTCCCATTCAGTAGCAGACGTAAATGTGGACCGTATGTGCATGGGACCCAAAGCTCAGTACCAGACAGAGCCAGGGCCTGCAAAGACTATTTGGTAGTGGATGGCATATAAACATTTTAAATTAATACAGAAAATAAATAAAGAAGCAGCACCAGCACCTCTGGATGAGCAGAGATTCTGGTCCGAGCTGCCACCCATTGCAGAATTGCCCGCACCCTCTGCGCTTGGCTACAGTCCTCATGGGAGCAGGGGCAGAAATGGATTTTCCCAGCAGTAAGACCTTGTTCCAGGTTGCAGTGCAAGCTATTTGGGGTTGAATGGGCCATGAAGACTCATTCCCTTTACAGAAAAAGAAAAAAACCCTACAACCTGCTGCCGGTCGAGGTGAAAACAACTACAACTGCCTTGCTGTACATGAATTTTTGGACTCTCTGTGTGTGGAATTCTCATCGGATCCCTGAATAGGAGCATTTGGTTTTGTGTCCACCAGCCCATCACGCCAATCTGATTCCATGAAGTGGTAAGTTTAGGTGCATGCACAGCACCTGACATCCAATGGAAGGGACAGGAAGAGAAGGAAAGGCCTCATGCCCATTTATAGTGTAGTAGCCCAACTTGGCACTTACATGGTTAACTCTGTGATGTCCCAGAGCCCTGGAAAAAAGAAACAAAGATCTGAAGATAAGTGAAGCTTCTCTTTCATTTCAAAAGCACATGGCATCTCCTCCCTGGTTACCTCTATTTTATTTCAGAATGTACTTAGATTGATTAATTTTATTATATTTATCTCCCACCTTTCTCCCTTTGGTTCCAGGGGGTCTCCCCTCCAAGCTCAAGCCAGCCCCAGACTTGCTTAGCTTGAGCACGAGGGATGCCTTACATGTCTTCAGTCCATCCTCTGTACATATACCTTATCTGGCTACCTGGACTCAATCTGGCTGCAATTGTACTCCTATTGCCCTAGGAGCAAGTAGATATGCATAGTTCATCTACACACACAAACACTGGGGGAGCCCTCAAACTTGCTTCCCCCACCATCTCAGTCTAAAGGGATGGAAACTTGGCTAAATTCACATTGTGGAGAGGAAATGTACTCTGCGCATGCTTGTCCACCACAGGAGCATCCAGACAGCTGACAAATATATGGAAAGCACAGATAAGGAAGGGTTTGGAGCAGAATACATATTCAGGGCACCTAGACATCAAAGTAGACCCTGCAAGTTCCCAATTTCCTTTCCACCCAGCTAACAAGAAGGGGCCAAGCCAGACAAGAGAGTGAAGATCTTGTGGGAAGTCATCTCAACAGTTTACTAAAAACCCCACAGGCAGGACTGCTGCCAGAAGGGGAAAGGGAAAAGAAATTTCTTGCAGAGATCCTGATAGAAATCCTTCCATTAATGAACTATTAAAAGCAACAGCAACAATACGATTCTACTACGCACGTGGCATCCCACCTAATTTGATCCAATGTCAACAAGACTTGCACCTTTTAAAAACAGAGGAGGCTTGTGTGGTGTCTGAAAGACTAGCCCATTTATTATGGACTCCGTGGCTTGTGATACCATTTCTGAGTTCTTGGTTTAGAGCTGCAGCGGCAAGACCAGGGCTGGCTCTCTTCAAGCTGCCCAGGTTAACGCAGTGCGCAGAATGTACTTTATCCTGGACCCTGAGACCGGGTGCGGGGGGGGGGGGGCAGCATTGCCATCAAGGACGAATGCTGAGGTGACCTTTGGGCCAGCTGGAAGGGGGACTTCGGGACAGACCCTTCCCTATCACCAGAACAGAGGAGCTGAATTGCTAACCGAGACACCGTAGCTTCTGCCTTCAGAACTCCTCGTTCAAGTCCCAAGTGGAAAACATACGAGCCAGACTAGAAGAAAAAGGTGGCCACCCACCTTTTCAGGTTCTGCGCCTGCCTTCTGCCAACTTGGTGCCCCCCGGCTATCATCAGCCTCAGCCAACATGGCTAATGGGCAAGGATGATGGGTGACGTAGTCCAAAATATCTGGAGGGCACCAGGTGATTCTGCAGCCTTAAGACAAGCTCCAGAGTGGAGTGAGAATGCCACGGTCGTGGCTCCATGAATTTTGCTTGTTGCCGAACTGACATAAAAGTCATAAAAAATGGTCAACAAGGCCCAAGAAATCCACACGTCCTGCTTTTGGGGCACCCCAACCTGTGCGACTTACCTTCCTTCCGTCGTTCGGCTGCTTGAGTGCGTGAAGTCCAAGGTCCAGCATGAAGTGGCAGCTTCAGCTGGGGACCTCGCCTCTTTAAAGACATTGCAGGAGCTTAATATTTAAACTGGGAATGAATCTTCAGTGCAAACGTTTCCTTCTCCCCGTCCGTCCGTGGAGCTGATTAAGGAGAAAATTTTGTCCTCTTTCCTGGCAGGAGAGAACAGCAGTCTCTGAGAAACAAGCAGTGTTGTGCTCCCAGCGAGGCAAACAACACCTTCCTTCCATAAGCCAGGAATGTGGCAAAGGGAGGGCGGATTGAAGGCACTCCCAGGTCCTGTCTTCCGTTGTGCATCAGTTATTTTCTGTCACCAAGTGCATTCTGTTAGACGTACAATCAACAATGGGGATAAACAAAGTAATACTAACAATGAGGTAGAGTGCACATTGTTAATTCCTCTGCCAAGTTTCAGCATTTCAGTTTAAAAGAAATTTAAAGCACATCTTGCCATGTAGCGATTTAAAAGAAATATGCAAGAGAAGATACAAAGCATAAATAATGCAATGTTATTCAACTTGCTGGAACTGTTTCAAAAGCCTTAAAATAAAACCTTTTGATTTGCTATGTCTTGCAGTCCAACAGGTACTGGTGGTGGTAAAGTGTGTGTGTGTGTGTGTGTGTGTGTGTGTGTGTGTGTGTGTGTGAAAGAAACGCAAATGTTTAAGGCTGCAGTTATTTACCCACTTACCTGGGAGTAAGCCCTATGAAACCCAAGGGAACTTCCAAGTACACAAACATAAGGCTGTGTCATAGGCTCACAATATTAGGCATACTTACCTGGAATTACATCTCACTGAACTTGCCTCTGCGTAAACACGAGTGTACTGCACAAGAACCTCTCTGCAAAAGCATTTCCGGGGTTTCCCAGCCTGAGGTCCCCCAAGATGTTAATGAACAACTTTCAGCAACCTACAACCAACATCGTTCAACACACCTGGAAGGCACCAGTGTAGCTGATCCCGCATCCTGCAGTGGCCACCTAAGGAGCTGCAAACAATTCAGCCAAGGTGGGCAACTTGCTGGCAAGGTGGAGGTCGGACCGGAAGGCCTTGTAGCCCCTTCTAATTCTACTATGATTCTACGATTCAGAAGCCCCTGGAATTCAAGCCTTCACACAGGAGTTGTGCTGTCCCCGCCTTGGCAGCTGGCTGGGTGGAAGGTTGTCCGCTTCCATGATGCTGCCTGCTGTGGGCATCCCTGCCTCCAGAGCTGGGAAGATGCAAAGCAAAGAGCCGCGGATGGACACCTGAGTGCGCGGGGCTTATCTAGGCCTTCACAAAAGAACGCCCACTCGCCCCGGTGCTGGTAGCCGTTCATCGATTTCTCTTCAGTATCCCTTCCGTCTCATCCTCCAGCTCTCAGCCTGAGCGACTGGACCCCAGACAACCAGCCCTGCTCCCGTCCCCTTTACGATTTTTTTTCCCCCATAGCAAAGGAACCAGGTGTGAAGGGCTGAAATAAAATGTTTTTATTTTGGCAGAGACACGATAGTGGAGCAATCCCCACCCCGCCTCTCCTTTCCATTATGCTGTTTCCATTCCCTTGGGCTTGATTTGGACACATCCGGTAATCTGGCCTGAAGTGAGGGCCATGCATCACACTGCCCTCTTATTCTCCTGTGTTTTTCCCAAAGAATCCCAGGACACACTCAACCCCCAGAGAATGTGGGTGGGGAATGAAACCCACACACTGCATAGATATTGGCCCCCAGCAGGGGACAGACAACCCCAGCAGGGAAATAGGCCATGAGATTCCACAAGGTGCTAGTCCTCAGAGACATAGACAAGCCATTTTCCTCCTTGGTCCCAAGCCACATGATCCATCTTGCCACAATCGTGGCTCCTTTCAAAAGCTGGGAGGAAGCCACAGTGTTGTGGAGTGTAAGGCAGAGCTTCTGAGGTATTTGTGTATGGAAGTGATGAGAGCTGCTCGAGGGGGGCGTGGTGGAGGGCTGGGGGGGACAGTCAGGAAGAGAGAGCCGGTCTGGCACTCTCTGGGGGCTTTCCTCAGCCCCACTGGGCCAGTCCTCACCTCCAGCAGCTCTCCTTCAAGCTGGGCTTTCCCGAACCATGTCGAAGTGTGCACATTACTTGGCACCATGGATGCTGGAGGTCGGGGTCCCCCCTGTACCGGCCAGTCCAAAAGAGCTGGCTACCCCGTCCGTGTGAGGCTGGTAGACCTGCGGGCACACGCGACCGAGGCAGGACGCACCCCCTTTGGCCCTGCACCCCGTCTGTTCCTCAGATAACCTTCTCTGGGAAACTCGCTTCAGGAGGTTGTCAGCCACCATGCTCAGCACCGAGTGGCAAGCACCCTTGGGGTGGAACACCCACCTCCTACCCACCCAGAGCAGGTTTCCAGCTTTGCAACAGTCTGTGTTCTTGAATTAAAAAAACCAAGCCGGTAATAATACACCGATAAGGTGACAGATGAACACAGCAAGCAGAGCTGAGGAAGGAAAAAAGGGGCCCCCGTCTGAAACAGGGCTGATGGGGCGGGACTGACAGCTGCGCCTCTGTCCGAACCACTGGTCGGTCATTTGCAGGAGGAAGCCGGGCTCATCGGGAGGCAAGTGAGCCGGGCTGGATCCAGCCACACGTCCATCCAGTTGAGCATCCAAGGACAACGCGGTGACCGAGCGAGACTCCACGCGGGGGAAAAGCCCTCCCTGCTGCGGCCGCCTTGCCCAGAGCAGCAGGCTGTGGGGGGCAGGCGCTAGCCACCCCGCTGCTGAAGTTTACCCAGCATCTTCTTGACCTCGCTCTCCACGCGGAGGAACTTGGCCTTCTTCCACGGGTTGGCGGTCTGCCGGCGGCTGCCCTGCAAGTCCTCCAGCAGCAGGCCGAGGTGCTGCTGCACCCGATCGCGGTCCCAGACTGGCAGGTTCTTCTGCACCACGTTGAGGATGATGGCCCAGTAGTCGGAGACGTCGGCCCCCATGGTCAGGAAGATGAGCACCCGGATGCCTCCGCGCTCCTTGCGCATCTCGTGCAGGGCTTGCTTCCCTTCCGCGCTGATCTCGTTGAAATACAGGCTGGGGAGGAGGGAAGGGGGTGAGGCATCAGGGACCAGGGAGCTGGGCCTGCACGGGCCAAGATTCAGCTCGGACAACACAACCGCCTGCTCTCCAGGGCTGAGCCTGGGCTGCATGTGGATTGTTACCCTTCCACTCAGAATCACGGTAGAGTAGAGTTGGAAGGGGCCATGAAGGCCATCGAGTCCAACCCCTGCTATCGCAGGACACCACGTCACACCCTCCCACTCAAGTGGCTGCCCAGTTTCTTTTTGCAGATGCTTCGTCTTCTTGCAAGGGACCCAAGGCTGCCGGCAAGGTTCTGCTCTTCTCCACTGCATCCTTGCAAGAACAGCCCCGGAGGGAGGCTAGGCTGGGAGTCCATGAGCAGAGCAAAGTCGCCCCCTGAGTGTCATGGCTGTGTGGGGACCAGAACCCCAGTCTCCCGAGCCCCAGCCCAACGCTCTGACCACCAAGCTGTCATTGAAGCAAGGCTGATCACCTTGCCTGAAGCCAGCTGGGCTAACAAACCATGGTTTGTTATTCATGAACAACCCAGGAAAGAGGGCTGGAACATATCTGACTGCAAACAGAAAGGTGTCCCAAAGCTGGATTCAGCCCTCCCACTGAAGAAGGCTCAGCACCCCGGACTGGACCACCAGAGAAGAGAGCCCGTGAGCCATTCTTGGTTAGCCAGAGGCAGCCTGGTCATGGGATCAGGGCATGTGCATCCGGCTGTCCCACGAGGCAGCTGCAGGACGGACGGACGGACGGACGGACAGACAGACAGACAGACACACAGACACACACTCACTGCACTGTTTCTAGAGCCGGGTGCCGCTTGGCCTCCTCCACCAGGGCCAGCGCGGTCGCGTCCGTCACCGAGTTGTAGGCCACGTCCAGTTCCCGCAGGTGCTGGTTCCGGGCCAGGTGCTGGGTGAGCACCTCCATGCCCCGGTTGCCCAGCGAGGTGTGCAGCAGCGACAGGTGGGTCAGGGAGCGGTTGCCGGCAATGCCCTCCGCGAGGTAGCGGGCTCCCTCTTCTGCCACGGGGTTGTCCGCGAGCCTGCGGGGAGGACCACGTGAAAGGTGGGCAGTGAAACTCAGACCAGCGAGGAGGCGAGCCTTCCCTCCCCGCAGCGATCCCCACCAGCGTCCCCGCCACTGGACAACAGCTTCCATTACCCCCAGCCAACAGCAGCAGGAGCCCAGTGCTCTGGGAGAGCACCGGCATAAGGAAGGCAGATGCAGCCGGAGCTGAAGAACCAGGGAGGTGTGCACAGGTGAAGCCAAACCCAAAGCAGGTGGATCCCCCGCGAGTCGTTCCCGGAAGCAAACGCAGTCATGCAACCTTTGTCGCAATGGGCTTCCTCTATCTGGCCCCAGACACTCTGGGACAGCTGGAATTCGTGAACGGTTTTCAGAGGCAGCCCCGATGTCACAACAGGGCCCCTTCAGGCATCAGGTTTTCTTCCCCACTTTACCCCTTTCACCTCCTCCCACCCCCTTTTCCCCCAATTTCAGAACGTAAATGCTCTGGGGCAGAGACCTGTCCTCTTGAACCTTGGTAAGCCTTGAAGTTCGCCTGGTGCCGGCACTTTATTCCTTTTGGCGCCAGGCTAAAACCTTTTTATTCTCCCAATGTTTTAAGATTTGCTGGTTTTAACTGGGGTTTTATTGTTGGTTGGAAATTTTATTAGGACGCTGTGCTTTGTTTTGTATTGTATTGTCTCATTGTTAAACAGCCCCGAGACCACGATAAGGGACAGTCTAGTAAAGTTTTTAAACAGACAAATAAATAAAGCACCGGGTGGCTTCTCCTTGCACTCCCCATCCTGAGAAATTTTGCAGTTATTCCTTCTTTTCCTCTTTCCCCGATCTGTTGCAGAAAGAAAGATTCGGGAGAAGCAGCGGGGGGGGGGGGGGGCGCAATGGAGGATTGCAAGCCCCAGCTGTCCTTGTTCGGATCCCTGAAAAGTTTTGTGCATGGGGCGGGGTGAGGGGAAGGCATAATATGACCCTCACATGAAAGCCCCCAGGTAAAGAAAACATCCCTCCGAGCAGTCGCGCCCACGCACAGAGCGCACAAAGCACGGCCCGCCCAGAAACGCGCCCTTGGCACTCACCGCAGGGTGCCGACCGCACAGTCCTCGTGCAAGAGCAGGTCTCGGATCAGCTTGCACGCCTCCGGCCCCAGGCTGTTGAGCTGCAAGCTGAGCAAGGAAAACAGAGCCCCGCGTCAGTTCTGGGTCGGGAGCCCAACAGGGGCCCCTCTCCTGATCGCGGGCTGCCACCTTCTGGGGAAAGGCGAGATTGCACCCTGAGGGACCTAGCAAGACACGGACTTAACCTGATTTTACCGCGTCCTGACGCTGCCGCCCACTGGCCGCAGGAAGAGCTGCATTTGCTAGGCTTCTGTGGTATACAAGGGCTTCTCCTAAGTAAGCACATGAACCTATTGCTTCCATTTCCAGAAAGGGAAAAGGAAAAAGCAGAGCCATTCTTGTTGAGTGGGTGGAATCCATTAAAGAGTTTTATAGTAATCTTAGGGGACAGGTGGATTCTTCAAAAGACCGATGACAAAAAAAAGTCTGCCTACTACTTTGTACACGGGAAGCTGCTGCATCCCCGTCAGAGCCTGGGGGTTGTGCGCACACATCCTGTCAAATTGCATCCCGGCGGGACCGGCAACATGGGAGATGCGATTGTATTTGGAGTGGTCCCAGCCCAGTTGCAGCTCAAGGTCCCGAGACTCTGCAGGATTTAGATTATCCCAAGGGGAGAGGAAGGGACCAGTGCACTCCCGTGGGAAGGGGAAACAGCTGCAGCCTCCAGAAGGAGGGGATATGCGAATGGTGGGGAAGGCCCCAGCGCTAGACCTCATGACTGGAGAAAAGTCCCATCAGGGACACAGTGGGCAGAGTGGAAGAACTCCCGCTTTGCCAGCGCTCCTCTCCCGAGGGAGAGCTGCGGAAGGGGGCTAGAGAGTTTCAGTAATGAATGACAGAGGGCTCAGCATTGCACTTTGTGCATGCTCAGGGGCCTGTATGCAACCATAAAGATTATTGGCAAAGAGATGCTTGTGAGACTGGAACTGCTGGGAGGGAGAAGCATGGGTCATGGTACTGGGCCCAGAATTGTCACACAGGCTGGTAGCAGCGGCTTTTGGGGTTTTGGGCCAGATTCCTTCCTAGCCCTGCCGAGAAGCGCTGGGGGTTGCACTGGGGACTTCTCCATGCAAAGCAGGTGGCCTTCTGCCAAGCCGCATCCCGCTCCCATTCCTGGAGGTGCAATCCCACCCAAAGGGAGGGGCCAAGGCAGCTGCCCTTCTCTAACTCTGGCCCCGCTCACCGCCCCCACTCACTGGAGCCTTCTGCATCGCAGCAGGACCGGGAACAGGATGCTCAAGCAGCCAACGTCCAGGTGGCAGGAGGCCAGGTTCAGCTCCTCCACCTCGTGGCTCGTGGTACCCAAGACAGCGGCCAAGATGGAGCATTTGAGGGGGGTCATCTTGACGGAGGAGAGGTTGATGGTCCTCAGGGACTGGATGGCCTCGGCCGTGAAGCGCTCGTTCTGGAACTCGTGCAAGAAGAAGAGGTAGTCCAGGAGCTCGGAGGGCGGCAGCCCCTTGCGGCTGTTGCGGATGACCGTCTTCTTCATGGCCTTGGCGATCTCGAAGGCTGCCAGGTTCTTGATGGGGCAACCCAGCTGGTCCAGGATCACCCGGTTGCGCCGGGAGAGCAGCCCGCCCATGAAGATGGGAAAGAGCTCGAAGACCTCGTCATCGGGCGCCTCGTCGGGGTGGCGCATGGGGCCCTCCACGCCCAGGATGCTGAAGTTGATCTGGTCCAAGACGTCATCGTTGAAGTAGTCCTCCTCCTTGAACATCTCCACCGCCATGGTGCGGGCGATGGTGTCGCGGTCCTTGCCACTGAAGCGGCTGAAGTACCGCGGGAAGATCTTGACCAGGCTGAAGAGCAGCGGCAGGACGCGCAGCGGCAGGACCTTGGAGACGATGCCCAGCAGCAGGGACACGTCCTCGCTCACCTTGCCGATGATGTCGGAGACCTCCTTGCCCACCCGCTGCGCCAGGGTCTTCTTCTCACCCAGGACCACGTAGAGGGCCGCGAGGTACTCCTGCATGGCAGGGATGGTGAAGACAAAGGTGTGCTCCTTGGCCGCCTGCACGCTGGGCGCCAGGAAGAAGCTCAGCACGTCGCTGCGGAAGACGTTCAGCAGGTTGAGCTCGCTCTCCGTCTTCATCCCGCCCTCGAAGCAGCGGCGCAGGTCCTCCTCCGAGAAGGAGGTCTGCCGCGACATCACCCCTTCGTAGGCCAGCTTGCCCACCGTCTTGGCCACGTACTTCATCATGGAGATGTTGGAGGGTTCCGTGCTGTCCAGCACCTCCCCGCTGAAGTTGAGCCGGAGGAAGCTGGTGTAGATCCCGGCGAGGGTCTGCGTGGGCGGCACCGCCTTGCTGAAATACAGGAAGTGCAGGGTGGTGCACACGAGCCAGCAGTAGGAGGGCAGGAAGCAGGCCACCGCGATCTGGTTGTGCCGGTCCAGGTTGCGCGAGAGCATCTCCAGCAGGTTGTCCTGCTCGCTCGCCTCCTCGGCCGTGGGAGGGCCGGCAGCGCCGGCGCAGTCCGGCTGGCTCAGGCGCATCTGGAAGTACAGCTTCTGGAGGCTGATGTCGGAGAAGCCGCAGACCTCCACGTAGCGGCCCACGAACTTGCTGGGGATGCGGCGCACTGCGGAGGGCCGTGTGGTGACGATGATGCTTGCCTGGAAGAATGCGCGCATGCGCATGCGGGTTAGGCCAGCTAAGGTGTAAATCTCGGGATGCCGCATTCTAGGCCAGCTGCCAAGCCTCTGCGTTCATAGCCCACGGGCTTTTTACAGCCTCTTGGCTATTTCAAGTTGTGCTTATTATTAGCTTTAATAGCAAAGTTATTATTATGAAAAACAGTAATAGGAATAAATAAATAGGAATACATTGCTATTAGCAGTAATTCCATCTGTACCTCACCCTTCTTCCACTGCACTCAGAGGAGGACAGAGAGAGCTGCCTCCAGTCTCCCCTCACAACAACTGTGCAGGGTGGCCGGCTGGTGCCCTGAGGACACTGAGGAAGCAGGGGATCAAAACCCTGATCTTCCCGGCCAGCTCCAGCGTTCCAGCTTCTATATCATGCTGGCTGCACATCAGGGGGAGTCGACAGAGAATGCTCAGGCTGTGTATATTTTATTACTGTACCCCATGTCTGGGGTGCGGAGCCTGTCTGTGGACCCAACCTGGTCCCCGGGGGTGCTCCAGAAGGCCACAGCCCCCTTCCCTGGCTGCAGGCCCCCCACCCCGAACAGGGAGCGCTTAGTATCGTCAGAGTCTGTGCAGCGCTTCCCTCTGTTCTAGAAGGCCGAGATGCCCTCTTGCACGGTGCAGCTCCTCCTGGTAAGAGAGTCAAGCAAAACGATGCAGGCACATCTTGGGTCCACCCCCTTTCCTTTGGCCCTCCCACCACTCTCCTTTGGCCCTCCCACCACTCTCCTTTGGCCCCACCCCCTTTCCTTTGGCCCTCCCACCACTCTCCTTTGGCCCCACCCCCTTTCCTTTGGCCCTCCCACCACTCTCCTTTGGCCCCACCCCATATCCTTTGGCCCCACCCCATACCCTTTGGCCCTCGCACCGCAAGGGCTTCTCCGAAATGCAATTTGGCTCTTGAGCTGAGAGCGGCTCAACCCAAAGGAAAGACCCAAGTCTCCTCCACCCCAAGGACTTTGGGCTCCTGGGTTCACCCCAAAGCAACCGCGACTTGTGATCTCCGGGAGGGCTGCCTCCTGGTGCCAGGCGGGAAAGGGAGGCCCAGCGGGAGGAGGAAGGGAAGGGAGCAGCCCCTGCCCCGCCTGGGCCGTACCCACCTCTGGCAACAGGTACTTCCGGAGGAGGTTGACCACGATGGCCGAGGGAGGGGCCGGCTCGTTGGGGTCGCAGCAGAGCTCGGTGCGGGCCAGGCGGAAGTCCAGGTTGAGGCGGTCCAGGCCGTTGAGGATGAAGAGCACCTTGAGGCTGGGGGAGTCCAGCGCCGGCAGCACCTCCCGCAGGTGGAGGTACTTCTTGGTGATCAGGCGCCGCAGGGAGGTGGGCGCCCCGCTTTGGGAGAGGTCCTCGCAGGAGAAGGGGATCAGCAGCTCGAAGCGGGGCAGCTGCCCGTGGCACCAGTCGATCACCATCTTCTTGACGAGGGTGCTCTTGCCGGTCCCCACGGTGCCATACAGCACGACGTTCTTCACCTGGTGGCCGCAGCCGTCCGCGTCGAAGAGGTTCTGCAGGCCGAAGGCGCAGCTGCCGGAGGCCTGGAGCTGGCTCTGGACGGACCTTTTGGGGGACGGCTTCAGGACCTCCTCCAGCGAGCTCTCCCGGATGACGGGGTTGACGTGCGTCGTGTCCAGCGAGAAGGAGGGGCCGAACTGCCTCTCCTCGTTGGGCTGCAGAAGGAACCAGCTGGCCAGGCTTTTCTGGTGCTTTGCAATGGCCTCTGCAGAGAACAGGGGAGGAAGATGAGAGAGGAAGGCCCATTCCCAACACCAAGAGTGGTGGCTTGCTGGCTGCAGTGAGGGTTAAAGAAACCAGCAATCATGGTTCTAGTCCTTATGGAGGTAAAGTACAGCCAAAGGGGATGTGAGCTGACTCTCAAGAGGCTGTTAGAGTGGTTGGGAATGTTTCCCAGGAGTGGAAAGAGAAATTCCCTTGGTGAAGAGAGCCCTCATCTACCATTTGCAAATTTCTGTAGCTACATCAGAATAAATTGCACAAAATTTAGGCAAACTAGAGAGAAACTAACTTTTTCTGAATTTTGAAAGAGACATTTTCCAGCACCAAAAACAGCTGATTTTTATTGTTATAAAATTGTGGAATCATTAGGAGTCTGGCTCAGCTCCCCAAATTGGCACAACTTCCTCTTATCATGCATCATCATTCGCTTTAAAAAATGTTTGGCATAACTGACACTCATTTTGCTAGTTGTGGGGTTACAGAGAGCAGTCCTGTACTGCTAAGTACTGTGAAACTTCACGGTCAGAGCACTGGAAATGTTACCCAGGCAACCTTTCAGCTTTGTGCAACTCCAGCGAACTCAACCCTCAAACTCAGCCCTGTCAAGCTTGCTTCACATTCATAAGATCTAGAAACTTGGTTTTAAATTCTGATGATTATTTTGAACTAACAGCTGCTCACTCCTGCCATTAATAGCATGCCTGGAAGAAACTGCAGAATTACAGACATCACTGAGGACATCCAGCCTGATTGCAATGCTGGATATTTGCTCCTGGGTCAGTCTAACTGCCGACCACTCAGCTGAGCCAGGAAATGCAGTAAAATCACAAGCTCGTGGCCTTACCAGAAGTGGCCACATTCTTCAGGGTCTTCTGACTCGGCCTGGGAGAGGCTGGCTGAGATGGATACCCGCCCTGATAACGGATGAAGCCCCTGGAAGAGGAAAAGGGAAGCCGTGAGAAAGCCAATGCACTTACCTGAGCAGCCTCATGGGGAGGGAGCTTTGCTGGAGGCCCCCTCCTCGTCTCTCCCACAGTGTCTGTGGGGAACACGTTGCTCCCCCTTTCCCTTTCCAGTAAACCAAAATGAACCCTCATTTTTAAAAAGTCCTTTCTCAGAGCTTAACAGCTTTTCAGGGGTGCTTTCTACAAGAAGGCTGTGAACCAGCTGCAGACATCAAAGCAATGATCCCTTCAATCGGTGGCAGCAGCTCCTGCCCATGTGAAGAGTGTGCAGCATTATTGTCAGCAGATCCTGCGAATGGTTCCAGTGTCAGCTGCCAGGCCGACCATGCGGCGCCCGAGGGGGCCGTCTCACCTGAGGGTTGAGGCTGCGAAGCGCGATGTGCGGTTCGTATGCGCAGCCCTGGAGATGAATTTGTCCCCAGCACCTGAGAAAGGGAAGCCCAACAGGCAGGTGAGGAGGATGCAGGTTCTGGGTCATTTCTTGGCATCGCTGTGACTTACACGCTACGGACGTATCTGTTAAAGACACAGCCTCGTCAAGGGCATTTCATCCATGTCAATGTCAAAACAGAGATACTGTGGGGGGGGGGACACTTGGGTTGGAACCTGGCTACACCTGCAGTGCTATGACAGCATTGAGGACTGGAGAAGGCTGGGGTGGCGCACTGGTGGTCTGCAGCCAACCCCCCCCCCCGCGACACCGGGGCAAGTGGAGAGGAGCCAACAAACCAGGGTGCCCTGAGGCGCCGCTCCATGGATAGGCCACTACAGACGCCTGAGCCCTCCTTGCACGCAGCCTCAGGCCCAGAGTCTGATGGGGGGCAGGGACTGAGCCACCGTCCTCCCTGAATCTTTAGGTGGCCGCGCAGGCAAGGAGGGCGCTGTGCCAGCATCAGCCTTTCCTGCGTAGATCGGACGGGCAGTGGGCACCGTTCCTCTCCTTGCATCCTCCGCCATTTCGTTTCACTTCATGCGCGTGCCGCTTCGCCACAGCGTGTGCCCACAGTGGCCCCCCATCCCGGAGGAATACCGACCCAAGAACACGCACCGACGCACAAGTGCGCTTGCCCGTCACCTCCGCCACAAGCAATGGCTCTCAGCACCACGGAACCATTTCAGATCAGGGACGGTGCACAGCATCCGTGGTTCCACAGGCCACAGTGCTGCCTTACCCGGCACGAAGTCCATGGGCCCCATCGGAGCTGTGATGCTGCCGCCCTTCCGCCTGGAGTCCATCTGCTTCAGTCTGCCCCAGCTGCCCCCCACCTGGGGGAGCCCCCTCCGGAATGGCATGGCGGCAGGATCCTACCCTTCACCTGAAACACATGCGGCAGGAAGAGAAAGCCAAGCTGGTGTTCATTTCCCTGTGGAACCCCCTCACCTACACACACTTCCTAAGCCGTTCCAGTGGGGATCCCTGCCTGGAACAATCCACCGGCCCAGCCTGGGGAAACACCTTTCCTCTTGCTTCTGTTAATGTGATTTTTTTACCCAGGCATTGAGCCCCCGCGAGCAGCGCCCCGGCAGCTTCCCGCTTCCAGGCGCGTGAATTGCAGGCTTGGGTTCTAGGCATTGTGGAAGCAGGTTGCCAGTTGGGCAACACCAGCCCTGGGAGCGTCTGCAGCTCGGCTCGCTTCCGAATTGAAGGCAGAGCATGAGAACGGAACCCAACAGACTGAAGAGGGCCAACCTCCACAGGACTGTTGCAAGCCCGGCTCAGGGTGCCAAGCCATGGCCTGCACCTTTGCCGCTGAGAACCGGGGTGCTCTGCAGGTCCCTGCGGTGCGCTGGCTGCAGCTGTTGTGGAGGAGAAGCGATGAAGGAACTTTTTGCCTCTTGTCCTCCACTAGTGAGTTTTTCACTAGATGGGCTTTTTAGGCTGTCTCACCAACGGTGAGTTGGAGTAGAAATAAAGGAGACTGGAGGAGGTTCAGAATAAATTGTTTCCTGGCCTTTCTGATCTCTCCACCCTCCCAAATGCCTGCTTTCCCTGCTCTTTCAAGTTGACTTTCTGAGACAGCTGGCACGGTTTTCTCCGCATCAGCTATGAGGGATCAGTGGGTCAGGTGTCCAACTCCCCCTTCCAGGGTTGGAGGCTCAGTCTCCTCTCTCAGAAGGGGTTACTCTGCAGCAGAAAACGGATTAAAAGGCGTAATTACAAATACAGAAAGCCATCTGTTTAGAAGTGAAGTTATTTGAAATGTTTAAAACCAAAGCTAAGAGCTCAACAATGATTAAACAGGTCAGTGGGCTAGCCCAATCCTTCACAAAAGGCTTGGGCAAAGAAATAGCTCTTTAACGAGGGTCTAAAAATAATCCCTGATTGCTGGCCATGCTGACTTTGGCTGCTGGGAGATTCTCTCTCTCCATCTGAGGGACAGTAGACTGGCAAAAACAGAGATACACCCCAGAACTGGGCTAGTCGATAAAGTTCCAGCAAGTGGCACAGAAACATAATCCACACAAATATCCTGAAGGGCTTCTAGCTCTTGAATAGGGAGGTGAACTGTGCAGCCCATATTTCCACAAAAATATGCAAGGGAAAGGGAGGTGACAGGAGGGAAAAAGAAGAGCCCTCGATCAATCATCATGCAACCTCTTCACAAAGATCCAAGTTCTGAAACAGTTTTCAAAACTGAAAGAACTGCCAAAACAAAGTGCTAAGCGGTAAACAGGCATTGATTGCCGCTTGGGGACAAGCCGATCTTTTCTTCCCGGCGGCATCACTTGGACACAAGAGTTGCAAAGGTTCCTCTCACCACTGAGAGCCCCAGTCGCTTTCCAGCAAGGGTGATGCTCCCTCTGGAGGGGAGGGGGTCTTTTCTTTTACCCCAGAGGAAAACTGGAGGGCAGCATGTTTAGCTTCGGCACTAAGAGCTCTCCGGGTCACGCAGGCATGCGCACCTGAGAGTAAGTCAGAAGGACGCGGCCTCACCTGTGAGTGCCCATGCAAGGGACCCGGCTGGGGACGGCGCGCAGCGGAGGGCCCTCCCCAAACGTGCCGCCCGCTGAGCCGCAATCAGCGCGGGCGCGCGGGCGGGCGGGCGGCTTCTGCCACCACCCCGGGGGCGCGGGGACGAGCGCAGGGGGCGCGCCAGGAAGGCGCGCGGGCAGGCGAGGCGCGGGGAGGAAGCGGGGCGCATTCCGCACGGCGCGCGCGGGCCCGGGTACCTCCTGCGCCCCGGCTCGCTGTGCTCTGGCGTCGCAGCAGCAGCAGGACGACCCCGGGGCCGCGCTCCGCTCCCCCGGCCTGCAGCCCGGCTCCCGTCCGCTCTCTCCCCGAGTCACCGTAGGCGGGGAATAAGCCAGGCCGCCTCCTCCTCGGCTTAAAGCAGCAAGCGGGGCGGGCGGCGCCAGACTTGTCCCGGCCCGTTTCGGCGACGCGAGAGGGTCTGCCTAAGTGTTTCTCCGCAGCAGTGAATCCAAGCACCCCACGCCAGCAGGAGGGGAACCGTCGCCTTTACGTGCCAAGTGCCTCTCGGAAGATCCCCTTTTAAGTCAAGAGAAAAACAACATGGCCCATCCTGAAGCTCAATCTACCTGATAGTTAAGATAGGCAAAATGTTTACATAATGCTGGGATTGCTCTGTACAAGCTTGCAGTCAAATTGCAGACCTGGAATTCTTCAATCAAGCAGTCTCCCCCCCGCCCACCGTCCCTTCCGGCCTTGAGAATGAACGAACTCTGGGCATGCAAAGCTAGCCTGAGAAATGAGAGTCCTGCAGAATGTCTGGACAGTGTCCCGGCTCAGCTTCTGCCTAGTCTCCAGGGGCAGGGAGTCCCCGTATCTGTGCAGCCCCTTGCACTACTGATCGATCCATTTGAAAATGACACTTGAGCAGCCATTGTGCACTTAGGAATGGGGCTGGCACAGCTAAGAAGTTCATCTGGCCTTAAAGATTGCAAAAAAAGGAACTGCACCAATTTGGGCTCAGCCGGCTATCTGTTGCAATCCGTCCCGAGGACTCAGAACTGAGAAAACCAAGATGAGACCGCATGAGCAGTTCCGCTGTCTGCTCCTGCACACCCCACCAAGCTCACATTCCAGTCCCCCTGCACCTCTGCTACAGCTTTTGCTCAAAAGTTTTGCTTTCGTTCCACTACTCAGAGCAACCTGGCCTGCTGCAGAGCACAGGAAACCCACCAGCACCCCGACCCTGAAAGTTTACCTCTGCTGAAGCTCCTTCCCAGCTGACGTTTGGGGTGTGCTGCTGCCCCTTGCTTCATGGGAGACTCAGCCGGGTGCCTGTGGGGATTTTTACAGCTCGTTCTAGCCTCTGCCAGGGTCGCTCTGCATTCAAAACAGGCGCCTTTCCTTTTCTCTCATCGGTAGTTCTGTTTCTCTCCTGCCGAGGCTTCTGCCAACTTTTCTGCAGCTGTAACTTCCTGCCAGTTTGGCCCTTCCCACTCAGCATTGCAGCTGCTCTCTCACTCCACTGGCAACATTTCCAAAAAGACAGCAGGGCAGATTCAGAGAGAGAGAGAGAGAGAGAGAGAGAGAGAGAGAGAGAGAGAGAGAGAGAGAGAGAGGCATTCCAGCTCATACAGCACCTTCCTTTGTGGCCGAGCATCATCAAATGGGGCCTCTGCAAAGCCACGGAGAATGCAGGCCATGGCATTTGGACGTGTATTATAACTTGAGATTTTCCTGTGCACTGCTTAGAAATAGGCTTCAGCATCTTTAGCCACATTTCACTCTATTGGAGAAGTGGATGGAGAAGTCTCTGCTTCCGGAAGTGGTCAGGCAGAAGCTCCCAGGAAGTTCCCAAGGTGGATGGAGACACGTCCCCACTACCACTTGCCCTCACAGTACTATAATACCTGTAGCTCAACGTGGATTAGGACCTGGTTACGTGAGGGGCAACTTCTTATGGACCTTATCTGAGCAGGTGTGCAGCAGGTGAGCAGGTGATGCTCACTTTCCTGGCTTGCAATATGCAGCAACTCAAGAGAGCTGTTCCCCATTCAGGTCCCCGGAGTGTGGGACTTCCACCCCCCTCATATACAAGCAGTGCTGATTCTTACAAGCTTTCAGCACTTGTAAACAGCTTTTGGTTTTTGTTTCTGTTTCTGTTGCACCGTTGATTCGTTTTCCTTGTTGCAATGCATTTGATTTTCAGGCCTGCCAGACAAAGTCCAAACCTGGCCTTCAGCGTGAGGCCATTTGAAAAAACAGCTTCGTTTTGAAAAAGCACAAAAATGTTTGTGTAAAATTTGGATGCCCACCCCAAAAAGTGGTGAACCGGGGCTGTCCCTTCAGAGATGTCAAAAAAGGGCAGCAAGCCAGTGCTTTGATGGTGGAAGGCAGCACACCAGTTGGAGCCCAGTTCCCCATGCCAGAGTGTGCGACACACTCAGGCTGCAAGTGACTCCCCGTGATATCAGACCGTCTGAGACGATTGCATTCCAGTTGGTCCAGTTTGATCCACAGTGACTCTCTACTGGAAGGGAAGGACTGCAGATGCTATCATCGATTGGCGTGGGGTCGAATGAGGAACAAGGAATGATCCACGCACACGGCAGCCTGCAATGGGCTTTTGATGTGCCTGCAACATGCAATCCATTTATTACGACACGCGCAAGACTCAGTACTGCTTTTCCTTAAACAAGGTCATATGAATAACATTTAATGTCATTACATTTTGCTGGGGCCTTTGGGAAGACAAGGAAGTTGTTTTGGGGGCAACATTTAATCTATTGTGAACAGCTTTCATTTTATACATTCATTGGTACGTGTGCTAGGGCAGGCCTTCACTGGCACACCCTGTGAAAACACCCCCAAACAGACATGAGTCATCACTTAAAAGCAAGTGAGTCACTCTGCAATGAGCAGGAAGATCTCATTCTCATTCTCCATCCATCCCTGTCTGTTCCCGGCTTCTCCTGCATTTCCTCTCTCAGCAACCAAACATACAAGTACTGCTGTGTCTTGGACAGAAGGGAGGAAATCTCATTGCTAAGTGACTAAGGCAAATTGTTCCAGTTTTGCCTGTTCTTGTGGGCCTGTAGGAAGAAAGCAAAAGAACAGGGCAGAAATTCTTGATATGCTTGTTGTGTGTGTGATCCAACTTACATACAAATTTGACTTGAGGATGTTCTCAGGAATGGAACGTGTCCATAACCTGGGGACTACCTGCCCCTTCCTCTGTGTGTGTGTGTGTGTGTGTAAATTAGGCCATGCACATTTTAGGCAAATGTGTCTCTCTTCCCTTATCTGGCAATGCCTAAACAGCCACCTGGTCAAGACTGCCTCCTCCTGGCCTCATGCAGTTCTTGCAGGACCCCAGAAACACACGAGAGAAAGGGCTATCGTATAAATATAGGTTTTATTAATGTGTGAAATCCAACGGAATACAACAGGCCCTGCATGAACACTTGAAACAAGCAGCGAAGACCAGCCACACCCGCAGGCCTCTCTGGCCCTACATTAAAAACCCCTCCAGGACCAAGACGTCAGGAGGTCCGCAACCCCAGCCGTCTGCTTCAGAGTCTTCCGAGAGGGCCGCAGCTTGTTCTCGTGTGATTGTGGAAAGCTCTCCCAGCAAAGAGAGATTGCATTTTTCCATATTGCATTTATTCCCTTAAAAAACCAAATAGGGCAGACACAGAAGAGAGGAGGGAGGAAATGTAGGAACCCTTGAACCCAGTTTAGCAGCTTTGGTTGAACTAGGCTCGAAATGAGGAGTGCAAACCCGCCCACACTTCTGCCTGTGTGTAGCCATTCAGAGGCACCCGAAGGTGCCCGACAGATCTGTGGGAGCAATACGAGGTGCCGCCCTCAGCCTGCCTCCTTGGGGGAACCCCACTAGTCTCACTAGCACAGGGGTGGGATCCTCTGGGTTTGGCGAGGGCCTTGAATCCCGACACCCATCAACCCCAGCCAATATGGCCAGTGGTTGGAGATGGTGGACATTGCAGTCCAAGAACAGTTCACGGGCTTCCCGTGGCCTCTGCGCAACCTGGTTAGGACTGGGCTGGAGAAGAATGCGTTTCAGGTACACTTCCCGAGGGAGTCGCCACCACTAAAAGTGCGTCTTCTGAGTAAACATGCCTCTTACTGCTAGTGGTGCTGTTGATGTACTTTTTGCCTCTGATTTTGACACCAGGTGCCTTCTCCACAACAGAAACAACGGCAAAGCCTCTTACAATCCAGGAGCCATTGAAATGGCTTGTTTCGTTCCGGGGGCGACAGCCATGAGCACACGATGTCCCAAAAGGATTTCAGCCGCAGGGGAAACACCTAGAACAGAAGAGCAGGAAAAGCAGCAACTGGCTGTTTACTCCCAGGGAGGCGTTGCTAGCAAAAGGATGTATGATGCTTAAGGAGGCTTGGGACAGCCGGGATTCCCGGGAAGACACGTTCCTTCCGAAGCTACAGAACTCTCTGGTCTGATCTTCATGAAATGGGAAAGAAACTCTTTTTGTGCTGCCTGACTTTGGAGGGTGGTGGTAGTGCTGGGGGGGGGGGGATGAGGCCCCCCGATCTCACTTCTCCCTTGTGTGCCGCACTTCTTAGTCTAGCACCGATAGTCAGGATTGCAACCACTTCTTCTGTGCGTGGAGGGACAGGCACCAGGGGCGAACGGGGGCGAACGTGCTTGTGGCGTGAAGGTGACCCCAAGGACGGCTCTTGCGCTTGATCCTGCGTTGCATGACCTCCGGAGAGGCGTGGGGGCAAATCGCGGGAAGCCACAGCTTTGCTCCGCAGACAAGCCTTTCGGGATACAGTTCCTCGCAGCTGCAGGCTACCCCATATTTTTGGGAAGCTTTGCTTCCTGTCTCGCCACTAATACAAGGATGCAAGACTACAATCTCCATCACTTCCAGCCACCCTGTGATGGGACTTGCGGCCTGACATGTTGCAGAAGGCTGGGGAAGGGTCTCCTCCCCGTATCTAAACTTTCAGGAGAATTAACTTCCTGGATTGGACTCCATCGTTTAGCAAAAATGCTGACAGCTCCTATGTTGAGATTCATCCACAGGGAACATGCTGGTGCATATAAGGAATTAATTTACAGTTTCAGGGGAGAGGGAAACCCAGTCCCCCTGCCAGGAGGATATGCAAGATCAAGAAATGATGCTCACACACTCTGCCCCATCCAGAGGACAGCCTGTTGGTCTCTATTAAAAATGGAGAGCAGGCCAGCCCCCCTGTCTTCATTCCCTCGGCCGGCGACCTTTCCCCCTGCATCTCAGTGCTAGGACAGTGGGGGGAGAAGGTCCTTCTCCATGGGTGGCTCCATCTGTGGCGGCGGCTCTCAGAAGGACTCCTGAGCCCAACCAATGCTTCACCAGGTTGCAAAACATTAATGTTCAACCCCAACCCCGGCCTCTCCTCCAAAATCTAGTTTGCAAATAAGGTGATTCTTTTCCAGCAGCCCCCAAAAGATAAAAGTGCGGTTTGGGAGCCCGTCCTCCCTCTGCCCCACTTTTTAAAAAGGCTGTTTTAAAGTGCATGGCAGCGGCCCCTTATGACCAGCTTTGGGGGGCCTTCACCCAGGAACCTGCTCACTTTGGTTCTTGTCCTGCCTTCAAGTAAGTGCCTAGGAACACAGAGGGTTTGTGGCCTTTGGCACAGGGTGGACACTCCTGGCGAAAGAGATGCTGGCAGTGGTTCTGCAAAAGTCTGGGCTGTTATTGCTGCAGCAGAACCTCTGTCCTTCCTCGCCAAGAGAAAGAGGAGAGGTGGGAGGGGTGCACCTTGGAGGCATCCCCTTGAAGAAGGTGCTCCACCTGCACAGGGGCAAGTGGAGGGGGGGGAGGACAGGGATCCCAAAAGGAGCTGCACTATGTCTGCAGCTCAGGAATCAGCCTGCTGGGGACAGTCAAAGCATTGCCAGTCCTGTAGTGCTCTCGACGGACCAAACACACAAGACAAACCATGTGGGGTAAAAGCTGATACACCTGGGTGCAAGCTTGGGAGTCACTCTGGGCTTTTTCATTGCCAACGAGCCATGCTGGGCTGGACCAAGGGGCCAACTAGGCCAGCATCTGGTTTCCCCACAGCGGCCCATCACAAACCTTCAATGAGCACACAGATGAGCCGACGGGGCTTGGAGGCACCAAGCCCTCCAGCAGCTGGCATTCGGCAGCACGCTGCCTCTCTGTGCCCGTCCAGATGAGTAGCCAAGAGGCTGACCTCAGCGGCTTGCCTTTGCAATGCTGCTTGGCCCAATTCAAAGCACTGTCTCCTCCACTCTGTGCATCGCAGGGCAGGCACAATGAGATGGAAAACTACATTTCCCAGAAGTCTGCAAGAAAGCATCTCTCTCTCTCTCTCTCTCTCTCTCTCTCTCTCTCTCTCTCTCTCTCTCTCTCTCTCAATGCTCACACCTCCACCCACTGCAAATCAGCCATTCGTCATTTCCTGCCCTCCTGGAAACCTCCTTACAGCCGCCTGCAGATGAGCAGTCTCAGCTGCCAGAAATATCTATTGCCGTGACGTCCCTGCTGATCCAGAGGAGCCAGCATGCCTGGAAAAACAACACTGCGGCTGATATTGGTGGAGCCTTCCAGGCAGAGTTTTGGGGCAGAGGTTCAGAGCCCCACACAGCCAAACGAGTGAGCAAAGCTCCAAATTCCTGCACATTTTGGGACAAGTGAAGCCACATACATTGCCCTCCAAAGAGCACACCCTGCTAGTCCCGAGAATGACCCATCTGCACCACCGAATGCTCTTAATATCTCACAGGAATGTCAACTTTATCCTTCTTCCTTACATAGAAACAGAACAAGTCAGAAGGGGCCTCCCGGGCCATTTAGTCTGACCCCCGGCTCCGGCCGGCTCCGCTCACGACATGCCCACCATGTGCGCATCCAGCCTATCCTTGAACACCCTCACCGATGGGGCCTCCACCACCTCCCGTGGGAGCCCAACCCACACCCTCAGGGTCCTGACTGTCAGGAAGCGCTTCCCGGCATCCACCTTGAATCTTGGTTCCCTGAGCTTTGCTCCACTGGACCGCGTCCTGCCCTCATCTGCAGGGGAAAACAGGTCTCAACCCACCTCTGCGCAACACCCCCTCACATGCCTATATGTCACCAACAGAGCCCCTCACAGGAAGGAAGGTTTAGGATAAGGAATGTAAAGCAGGTGCCATGATAACAATGGATTCTCTTGAATTGCTGCTTGTCTGTAGCAGATGCCCAGGGACAGAAGACGCGGCAGGGTGGGAGAAGCTGGTAAAGCTGCAAACGTGTTTAATCCAGGCTCTGAGCACCGGGCTCTGGAAAGGAGCAAACAGTCCTAAGATCACCAGCAGATTTTGCTGGCATGGTAGCCAAGAACCTGAGTTCAGATATCACCTTCCACCCGTAAATGGAAACCAGCCAGCCTACTTCCTGAAAGGGTCCTGCTAAGGCTGGTGCAGGAAAAGGAGGATTGTTCAACGCACCTGCAAATTTTTAAATACCAGAGAGAGGATTAAGAAGGCCGCAAAGGAGAGGGGTAATAATAGCATGCTGTGGATTGTCTTAGTATTCAAAGATGGCACCTCAGTAAAAGGAGAGTGACGGACTGCAGCTGCTGGTTGGCATCTTCATAGCGAATGTGCGAAGCCAACAGGAACGGAGGATACGCCAGAGCTCTGGACCAGTCCCTCTCCTCCTACCAAAGTCCGATGGCTTTTCTTAGTGAGGGTAAAGTGGCACGCAGGGCTGCCGTGTTCATGGCAGGTATGCTTACTTATCTCATACAGATTTCCCAGTGCTTCAAAACCTGCCAACCCAATTGATGGGAAGAACGGGGGGACACGAAGTGTGCAACAGACACACTTCGACTCTAGTGGTCCTCCTCTCTCTCGCTTCCCTCCTGCCTCAAAGCACAGGCAGGCTTTGCACACGCCTGTCCCACGCTCGCCTCCTCAGAAATACGATCCGCTGAGTTCTTTGGGGCACTGCATGCAATTCATCACCAAGTAAAAGTTGATTTCGGCAGTTTCCGGACAGTACTGTACCCTTGCTCAATTTGCATATTTGCTTGCTTTGCATAATTTGTTCTGCAGTTTTCGCTTTTTAAAATGCTTTCCTTTGATCATCACAGAGCGGGTTCAAAAGACTGTGTGGAACATTTGCCCCACATTTCAGCCCCTTCTCACATGTGCAGAAACACAGCTGAAATGTGAAGTTCTCCAGGAACTAAATTCTGGGCTTGACGCAACATTCTGCACTCCAACAAGATCATGGAATAAATGCAACCCTCTGAATTATCTCTGACCAAACAGAAGCTGCAGGGTTTCTAACACATACAGCAGGTTTTCCAAGCGCCACGAGGAAGTTTAAAGCCCTTCCTGTCCTATGGGGAAGGCCTGCTATCCCTACAGATTAATTTCAGGGCTGATCTTTCTGTCTGGTGCTTCTAGTCCTGCCTGCAACCTTCTCAACAACGACAACAAACAAAAAATACTCACAGATTAGCATTTGGTTTCTCCTAAAGAACCACACAAATAACTGGGATGGGGGTGGGGGTGGGGAGAGGGAAAATAGAAAAGTTCCCATAGCTATGGTTACGGTAAACATTTAAAGCCTTGCGCAGCACACACTCCTAATAGTTTTTCCAGTTTCTTAATATTGATACACATGCTACAGTTATGTCCGCAAGCGAGCGAGTCAAAACGGCACGGAAAATAATAGTGCTACAAAACTGTGCTTTGCAGTGGTCCTTTTTGCCTGCCGTAATCACCTTGTCCGTCCCCACTCAGTCCCCGCTTTCCCACCCACCCCGGGCCCTGCCCAAACGGATCGGGCGTCCTGCCCACGTTCCAGCTTCGTCACAGGCCAGGCCGCCTTGCTCCTCAGAGATTTGCTCCGTGGAGCAGGGAGCCAAGCGGCGAACGAGGACAAGTTCCCTCCGACAAGAACAGCTCCAGGCAGAGCATTTGACACATTCCGGAATTATACAAAAAGAGAGCAGAGAGGCCATTTTGCAATGACGAGGATGCTTGGAAAGGTTAAAACAGTTCCGAGATGTCTCATCAACCCTTCTCGACTGTGCTGACTCTGTCCACCAGCTACTGGACACCTCCCTCGTTGACCCGTGGACCCACGGAGTTTATGTCCGCCGAGGAATGGTCCTGGCACAGCCGACAGTGTCTGCCAACGGGCATCGGGGTCGCCCCAGGGGTCCCTTTTATCTTTCCGACTTCACCTTGTACTTGAGGGCAAGGTAGGCCAGCAGTCGGAGGATCAGGAAGAAAATCCCCAGGACAATAAAATCAAGGTAGAGCTTGGCTTCTTCCACGTCCAGCTCCTTGAGAATCTTGATGGGATCCTTGAATGGGCAGTCGGGCACCTTGCACTCCAGCTCGCCTCGCTCCAAGGAGTAGATGGTCAGGATGACGCCTTCAAAACCGTACCTGAGTCGACACACAGAGAGACTGTTAGCAGAGCAGCCAAGTCCTGCAGAACACCCTTCGGGAGACTTCATTCTGAGGCAGAACCAAGCCACCGAGGACACAGTGGAGCCCTGGAGGGAACCTTAGAAAGAGGTGAACACGCTGGAGTTCGGATCGGGGCAGCTGCATGGAGCTCGCTTCCACGTGCTCCAGCCCACCTCCTCCGTTCCAGACGGCAGTGCGGCTCTGTGCTTCCAGCTGCAATGTGGACTGCCAGCTTCCTGATGCACGGGCCACGGTTCCCACTGGCGTCTGGGCAGTGCCAGATATTAACCGTGGCCTGAACATGCTCCGATTAGTCATGAAAGGCACATCTGGGATCTTTGTGCACCTCTGTGCTTCCAAGGAAGAGCCCTAATGCCGGCTCAGATCAAAGGCCTTCTAATCAAGGAGCCCCAGCACTTGCCCAATGCTGTGAGTTGCTTGGGGTGGCTGAAGGGAATAGACAGGGCACTCCCATGGCTGCCCTCTTCCCTGACCCATGTTGGTGACCCAAGGGATGCTCTGGAGGCCCAGTTGGCCGCAATGGCCAAATAGCCCTTAACAGATGGCACCTCCTTCGTTAATTTCTGCAATCCCCTTTCAGACTCAGTTCCTTGAACCCTTCTGAGCTTAGCTGCAGTCTTTGCAGTGCCAGCTAACATTCTATTTATTTAATTTTTTTTGGTTTTCCCAGCAACGAAGATGGTCAGGGGACTGGAAAGAAGCCCCTGTGAAGGGAAACCAAAAGAACTGGGCATGTTTAGCCTTTGGAAGGGAAGACTGAGGGGAGCTAGGATAGCCCTCTTTGAGTATTGGAAAGACCTTCACAAAAAGGAGGGACAGAATCTCTTCTTGATCACCCCAGAATAACCAGCTCAAGTTCCAGGAAGTTGGATCCTGGCTGGACACCGAGAAAAATCTGACTGCTAGAGCAATGCAACAATGCCTTGGCCATGGGCTCTCCCATCCTGGAGACAACAAGATGCAGCTGGGCAGACATCTGTAAGGGATGCTTGAACCCAGAGTCAACCCAAGGTTGAACTCAGTGGGTTCATCAACCCTTTCCAACTCTACTATCCCATGATTCCATATTTGCATGATGGTAGTAATAGTGTTTAGGATGGCTTGGCCTTGAAGCATTCACTAAAACCTGTTAGTTTTGCAGAAGTCCTACCATAGATGTATATAAAAGGTAAAGGTTTCCCCTTGACGTTACGTCCAGTCATGCCTGACTCTCGGGGGTGGTGCTCATCTCCGTTTCCTGGCCGAGGGAGCCAGCGTTTGTCCGCAGATGGTCTCCGTGGCTGTGTGGCCGGCGTGACTGAACACTGAAGTGCACGGCACGCTGTTACCTGCCCACCGAAGTGGCACCTTTTTACCTACTTGCATTTGCACGCTTTCGAACTGCAAGGTTGGCAGGAGCTGAGACGGAGCAACAGGAGCTCACCCCGTTGTGCAGACTCGAACCGGCGACCTTTGGATCAACTAGCCCAGCAGCACAGCGGTTTAAACCACTGCGTCACCTGCATCCCCTTAGATGTATATAGGGCTGCGTATTTTGCATGGGAACAGGTGTGGACATTAAGGGAGCCCCGCAGTTCCAAATTACCACTGCTTTGCTCTTTCCAGCATCCCAGAAATCGTTGGGAGGTATTGGGAGGCAGAGGTCCAGTGGACACTTGGTGAGCGAGAGGTCCCACCTGACGTAAGAGACGTAGGAGCTCCACTGTAGGTAGGTCGGGATGGTCTTGAAGCTGACGAAGAAGCCAGAGAAAAGCAGGACTGGGATGGCGGTGACGGGACCCACAAAAGTGGCCACCTGGGAGGCAAATGCAGAGAGAGAGTTTCAATGCCACAGTACGAAAGTTTAAGTTCTGGCTTTTCACGGCCTGCCCGCCCCCTGTGTGTTGGACTACAAACCTGCAGCCTAGCAGGGGACAATGGGGTATATACTCCCATACCTTGGGAAGCTAGAGAAGGCATGCTCTGAAAGCACACCTTATTGAATAGGATTTCAAGATCAAGAAAATCCAGAGCCAAATGTTTCTGAAAAGGGCATTTAATGGAGGAATGTAAATATTATTTATGGAAGTGACCAGTGGGAACAAAGGCGTCCATTCCATTCTCTCATGTATCAGATCTGTTTGGCCATTTTGACCTGCTGGCCGCACAAAACCCAGAAAGATTTATTATCTACAATGAGTAAGCTAAGCTAAGATTTGGACATGCTAAGTTTTTGAATGGTTTATTTCTAACGTGCAGTAGTCGAATTGGATGCAACATTTCAGTCAAGCTATTTGAAGGAAGGAAGTCGGCCTTCTTTTGCTTCCTCTGTGCACCCAGAGGGCTCCCGCTGTCCGCTGCTGGAAACAGAATGCTGGGTTGGATGGATCTTGCCTGGTTCCAGCAAGCCAGGTCTGGTGTTCCTATTCCCCAGAACAGCTTCTCTCCTACTTACCTGCAAGGAGGTGGATGCTGCCCCTATCACCAGCCCCAGAGACTGGGCCACCAGGGCTGTGGAGGTGGCCAGGGCAGAGAAAAGCAGGAAGCGGGTGGCTTCAGGGGGCTGTCCTGTCATCCAGTAGACAATACTGCAATAGGTGATGGGGCAAATCACCTGGGGGAAGCAGAAGGCAACAGATCAGCGCCAGAGGATGGCCTGAAGGCACACAAGGCGCCCCCCACATTGAAGCTCAGCAAGGCCGGGGCTGGCCTGAGCTTGGAGGAGAGACCCCTGGGAACCTCTTGCAGCCACGGGAGAAAGGAGGGATAGAAATTTAATAACATTAATAAATCTAACTTCCTAATCCCCAACCTCGAATATAATAAAATAAACAAATGATTCTGTTTAAGTGGAAGGTGTCTCTTCCCAACCCATAAAATTGATAGTCTGATCAAAGCGATATGTTGAAAACCTGCGTATTGGGTTACTGCGGTATGTTCTACGCGGGTCTTCGACTCATGGCCCCATCTTCCACAGGGCTGCTTCTCCACCATGGATTCTCCTCTGAGCCTTGCATTCAAGGAGCTGTTCATGGTGCAGAACCTGAGGCCCACGCTAGGTTCAGCTCCTGGACAGTCCAGAGCAAAACCCAGAATGGACCATTATTCCCGTGGAAGACCTCCACGGCTTGAGACCAGCCCAGAAAGTGTGGCGCTTGCACGTGGTTTACTGGATGGGAGATCTTGCCATGAACATGTGATCCTTCTGGTCAAAGAACTGTCAGCATAATACTGGACCATATTCAAGGAGATGTTCTGGACGTACAAGGTGCTAAGCCTCTTCAGACCAGCTAACCCGAAGGAGCACCTTCACCCCTATCATTCTGGGCAGCAAGTCAGGGCCTTCCTTGTCATCAGGTCACCTGTAGAAGAACGTCAGATGCCAACTAAGGGGGGCCTTTTTAGTTGTGGCCCCTGCCTCTGGAATCCTTTGTCCCTTGCCCCATCTCTGCTGGTGTTCAGGCATCTGCTGAAAGCTTATCTGTGTTCAGAAGCATCTGTGAATTTTAATTTCTAGCTTGGTTGCTTTTCTTTGTTCTTGATGGGGTAACAAAGGGCAGTGTATACATATTTTAAACAAATATGTCCCCAGGTACAGGAAAGGAGTTAGGGGAGGTGATGAAGGGAGGCAGGTGGGACCCAAGGAACATTTTGCCATTCCCCCGGGAGAAACTGCACCTGTTGAATTTCTGCCCACTATGTGGCTATTAGAAACACAGGAAAATATCGAGGGGAAAACGCGGTGAGCCTGGACGTGAATGCAGAGCAAGCACAGCAAGAACCTCACCTGGAAAGGAACGTCTGCCATGGTTTTGGCCAGGAAGTAGGCCTTCAGGCTGTACCAGTAGTTGAGATGCTCTCGCAGGAACACGGACATTTCCAGGGGGACTGCAAGGAAAGGGGCAGAGCACGGTGGGCATTGCCGTGGCAGAGCAGTGGAAGACGTGGCACCACGCGGCACAGGGCCCGGCCCCCATTCCAGCCTTCAGGGAGTGCCCACGGAAAGGATTCCTCTGCCTGCCGCCACCTCCGAGCTGTTCTGTGGACCCATCATTGCTCACTCGTGGCCGCTTAGGAGTATTCAAGAGAGCAACCTGGCCTTCTAGTTTTGCTCCTAATTTTGAGCCTTTTCAGAGTTTTGTTTTGGTTTTTTCCCCGTGTTTCCCTCCCTCCCCCTTTTTTGGTGGTGGGATTGGGGCTACAGGGTGGGAAACACAGTATTTTTTTCAGCCCCGCAAGTGTAGCTGCACTTCTCTGCCACCCCACAAGGGGACCGAGAGGTTGTAGGGCAGAAAGGAAGGGCTCTTTGCAGACAGCCCGTCTCAGTTCTGCACCAGGACCAAAAATAACCGGAGCAGGTTAGCAGCCTTATCTAGCAAAGGCCTTGCTCTCCGGCTGCCCTGCAGGAGCAACCGTGGCTTGCCAGTTCATCGTGCGATTTGCCTACGGCTTTTGCAGGGAGAGAAAATAGGTGTTTGGGTGAGAAAATAAACAGGTGCTACTGAGGGAGAAGATCCTTAAAGTGGTGTGGAATATACATAATTATTCAATAACAATGATTCAATAATAATAATTCAATTATTCAATAGTCTTTTCAAAATCGTAAAATGCCCATTGAATTGCAATTGGTGATAAAGATGCATTTTCCAGTACCATTTAAGATTTTGCCTCTACCTGCTTGTACAACCAAGTACCCAAGAAGAGCTTTAGAGTTCAGACTCCACCTCTACCTTGTGCACAAGTTCTTAAGTTTCTTTCTGTTTCATTTTACCGGTTCATCTTATAGGAAATGGGTATTTTGTGACCCCTCCCTCCACAGCAGCCACGTCATGAGAGCACCCACAATATCCTTCCAAAATTCAAGCTGTACTTTCTGCCCCAAGCTTAGATCTCTCTGGGGTCTTTTGTTGACTCCAGTGCAGCAGCTGGAAGCATGGAGCTATGAGGACGTAGGAATTTCTCCCCCACCTCCTTTGGATGTGGATGCCCGACCTGCTGAACCCCAGTGGAGCAACAAGCCAGCTTCTGGTATCACTGTAGCCCCCTTTGCTAAAATGAGGGATGGGGGGGCTGGACTTACACGTGAGGACGGTGGGCATCAGAGCAGCGAACATGAGGAACAGCATGGAGAAGAAGAGGAAGCCGGTGTTGTTGAAGACCTTGGCGGCGTCATTGCCGATGTGCAGGTAGAGCAGGCCGATCAAGACCCCGATGCAGATGTGTGACATGAACCGCAGGTGGGTGAGCACCTGGGCAAGGAGAAGGATGGCATGTTCAGGCTTACTGTCCTGCACAAGCCTCCCTTCAGAGGAAGGCCCTCTCCACTCTAGACCAAATTTTCCATGGAGACCCTGGCCGTGTTCCTCTTCCTTCATGTGCAACCTGCTTGTTCACCAGCTTCTTGCTCTGGCCGAGAGATGAGGAGGTGCAGTGGGAAGCACCAAGCACGTCCTGCTTCCTTGCCTACCACGCGAGCAAGAGGGAGCCAGGAGGAGAAAGAGGGCGAGCAGCGAGAACACCTGGTCGGGGACCATCGAGCGTATTTTGCCCAAGGGCCCTCCAAGGCCCAGAGAGGGCCCTGTAGGTGGTGGTGTGGAAGATGGGCACTGCCATCTTTCTCACCACCACCACCACTGGACAAGGCACTGCCAGTCAGCCAAGAGTGGGCTAAGCTGGTTTCATCCTGAGCACTCCTTTCCCCCTTAGGCCTGATCCTGGAATACCTCAAGGGAGGCTTCTTAATCAGAGCTCGGGCTGCACCTTGGTCCCAAGGACCTGGGAAGGCAGAGATGCAGCCCAACCTGGATCTATAAGGCTCCTGCCCCAAATTTCTTGAAATAGCCCCAAGTGCCCATTGGCACAGGGGGCAATTCTCAAGCAGGGTTGCACTGGGGGAGCAAAGGGTTAATCTCCCCTTTCTACATGCTGTCACTGCCCTCAGATAACCCAGGCATGGCAGCGAAGCTTAAAAATAGGCTGCTTCAGGGTGTCCTGGGTTGGGGTGCAAATTATTTGAGGGATGGATTTATCTCAGACACTTCGCATGAGGAATTGAGTGGCGAACCTTCTGGGAAATTTAAATGCATCCCAGTAAACATTTCTGATTTTTACGTATAGAAATAAGTGAATATATGCAGATTTTATGCAGACTCATATCCTACAGGCCTGCTCTGACTCTTTTGCATGCCTAGCAATGCCCGTGTGGGGAGGGCTTCCAGCCAATCATCCCCAGCAGCCCAGCCAAGCTCCCCAGCCTCTTCGGGTATGCGCCCGCCCTGCACCTCACCGTGTCTCTCAGGATGGAAAGGAAGGTCCTCTTGAAGAGAATGCAGAACTGGGTCAGGGTGCTGGTTGCAAACGTATGGCTTTCGATGTGATCCATATCCTGGGGACGAGGGCACATGGCCAGACAGAAAGAAAGAGAAAGGGAAGTTAGGAAAGCCGTTAACAATCCCGGTTCTTAAAATGTATCTTTAAATTATTTTTTTTTCTAAACCTTTATTTTGCCCATCTGTCAAATTGAAATAGAAGGAGATCTGCAGAAAGTGTAAGTGAAGATGCGAAGGATGTTGGAATCCTGTATGCTCGAGGCAAAGTCTGTTCTCCCAGCACCTATCTGCATGGAACCAACGTGGCACTGCCAATGCACGAGAAGAGAGTTTCAGCAGCCGTGAGGGGCCCCCAAGACTTGCAGAAGCAACTCGAGAAGAGGAGGCTCCCGAACAGCCCCCTGAAGGCTGGACCAGCTCCGTGCTAAGGAAAGCAGATGGGGTTTTGCCAGGGCAGCAGGAGGTGCCTCTGGCGAGGGAATGAAAAATGGAAGCACGGATTGTGGGAAGGGCCACGGCTGGCTGGGACCTGAAGCAGAACCCCAAAACAGAGAGAAGGACGACTGGGCACACCTCCCTGGGGTCTTTGCATCTGAAAAAGAGGCCATTTTGTGGCCAAAGGTGGAGCCCCATTCTGGGGAGAAAAATGAGGGATGGCACCTTGCGAGGACCATAGGCCCCAAATGCCTTTGATCTTCCAGTTGCAAGACCGTCGGCTGGGCTTGCTCGGCTGTCCCACTCACCGGCCCGCAGTGCTCCTGGCAAGAAGCGTCCCTTTTGTCCGGACTGCTCTTCTTCTCCACCATGGCGCAAAGCCCATTCTGGACCGCCTGGAACAGCAGCGGGTTAAGGTCGCCGTACTCGCCCGAGGCGACTTCGATAACTGCAAGGGAGCAGGCAATGCGGGTGAGTGAGCCAGGAGCACCCAAGCTCCCCACAGCACCCTGTTGCCATGTAACACTGACATTTCTAGACACACAATATTGGTTAAGAACCATCACGGAAAGCGTGTTGCACCTTCCTCAGGCTGGGAAATGAATTCCGTTTTGGAGAATCCATTTTATGGCATTGATTTTAAATGACGTTAAGCAGATTTTAAAGATGGAATGGTAGAAGCTCTCAGGTGCTCTCATACAAACAGTGCCCCCCAGCCAGCTTGTACGGCCAGCATCTCAGCCTTGGGAGAGGCGTTCCAGCCTCTGGAATGGCAGAGGGGAGCTTGCAAAAGCCAGGATCCGCCAGAGAACGGGTTGTTGGGGGAAAGGAGGCGGGGCCAGGGGAAGGGGCGTCGGCTTCTGGGGGCCCTGAGTGGAGGTTCAACACTGATGCATTAGCACAAAAATCCACAAATCGATTGGCCTACGAACCGATCCTCATTTTAAGCTGGCAGCACTTACTGAAATCGGCTGGGTTGTGGTAGGTGGGGCAATGCAGGCCCAGCCCCTTTAGGTACGGGATGAGGTTGGGTACCGCTCCCTTGAAGATGCACTGCCCTTGGCTCAGGATGTAAAGCTGAAAGGGGAGTGGGGTGGGGGGAGAAAGAGCATGAGCACAGGCACGAGTCTCAGGCCTCGTTTCTGAGGAGGGCCCGTCATGAAAGAGGCATCTCGGAGCCACCCAGGTTGCTCTCCAGGCCACGCTGGGGAAGCTCCCACGCAGGGAGTGCAATGGAGAGTCCGCTACTCCCGCCCAGGGGCCTTTCCCGACTGGCTGCCCGTCCAGGTGTCCTGGACTGCGATGACCACTGATCCCGGCCAGCATGGCAGGAGGAAGCTGCTCCCCCGGACGGAGGCCTCCGGAAGCCCTCACCTTGTCAAACTTTTCGAAGAGTTTCGCACTGGGCTGGTGGATGGTGCAGATGATGGTGCGCCCGCCCTGAGCCAGGGACTTCAGCAGGGAGACCACCTGGAAGCAGGAAGCACTGTCCAGGCCGCTGCGGGGGGGGGGGGCAGGAAGAGAGATGGGGTGAATGCCGGGGTCTGCGAGGGCAGCAGTGGGAGAGTGCAGAGCACTGGGTGTTGCTTCTCCGGTTTCGGCCAGCTGCCTTCGCTTTTCTGCTGATTCTGCAAACTGGCTTTCCTCGCCCCCTCACTCTGGTGTGGCGGGATGGGATGCATGACTGGGCGCCTACCACTCTCGTTGCACAGCTGCTTCTCCACCCTCAGAAAGGGTTCTCCGCTGCTTGCTCTCCCCTTCTCCTGGATGCGTTCTTGCCTCCCCGCGGCCCTTGAACCCCAGCTGCTAAATCCGGCATATGCTTCTCACTGCCTTGGCCACCCAGAGCTCCTGCTCCGCTTCCTCTCGGTGGCTGCCTCTCCGTGCCAGCCTCCAACTCCCGTCCTACCAGAGCTGCCCCTGGGCAGCCCCAAACAGTCAGCTCTCTTCGGTCCTGGGAGCTCCCTGCCTTTTGCTCTGAGGTTTGTCCCCATCCCCCGTTGGCTCGCTCCTTCCTTTTCCGCTTACCTGCCTTCCACCACCTGGCCTGAATGCTTGACTCTCACATGGGCTGATCCTGGATCTGAACAGCACCTTCCTTGAACAACGCAATGGCTCTCAGAACATCGTCGGCCTCCTGTCCTCGGACCTGCTCCCCCGGCCCTCTGATACCTTCGCAGTGACCTTCCCACATGGGAGGGGCCTGATCCTGACACTGCGTCCCGCCCCTTCCTCCAGGACTAACCTCCAGTGTTCTGTGAGATGCAAAGAGATTCATGGGATCTCCTCTCCACCCATACGGCAAGAGCAGTGCCTGGATCATGTGCCCTCCCCCAGGTGTACACTGGGAGCAGAAAGAGGCTCGGAAAGGTGTGCTTCTACCTGGTGGGTTCATCAAAAAACATGACTGGGGGGTTGTTGACCAGCTCCAGAGCAATGGCGAGGCGTTTGCGCTGTCCTCCAGACAGGGACATGGTGCGGGTGTAGGAACATTCCAGAAGACTCAGGGCGGTCAGTATCTCATTCACCTGAAACAGGTAGAAAGCAGGCACACGTGCTCAGGTCACCTTGGCTGGATGAGCACCACTCTGATTTCATGGTGAAAGCAGGCATGTGCAAACTTGGGGGGGGGGGGACTCCCTTGGGGAGAAGTGGGCATGGCCAACAGCAAAGGGGTGGGGCTAGAACAGCAGCACAACCGAGTTTAACGCTCTCTCTGCCAGTAACAAGGACACAGGAGAGATATTTCAGCTCTTCAGCACGGGAGAACAACTGAGCACAAGGTAGGGGACAGCGGGGCAGAGAAAGGGCCCTGTGCCAGTTTTGGGGCTCCATGGATTTCCCGGTCGCTCCCGGTCAGTGTGGGTCAAGTTGTGTGTGAGGGCTTGGGTTTGATTTTTGCAGCCTTCTGCCTCTAAGATGGGCCACCTAATTTGCATTTGAACACGCAGTGCTGAGGCAATCCATGCAAACTGCATGATTTGTGCAATGGGCTAATTTACCCAAGCGGCACGATCTCCATCCACCGGAAGCCAAAACAGTGTCCTTCTAGCGCTATTCCCACCAGCACATCATGCAGACCAAATTCGCACAGATCACAAATTCACACACTCTCTGTAGCACTGTTTGTTTGTTTGTTTAAAAAAAATGGGGGGCAACAAAACTGGGGGGGGGCAAGCTTTCCTGTGCAGAGTCCTTTCTTTCCTCCTTCTCAAATTTCTATCAGGTCAGCAGCTATGGACAACCAGAAGTGACTTCATGGTTGGTGGGGGAGGGGGACTTTTCAAATACAATTGGGGAAAATTAAATTAAAATGGGGCATTATCAGACTCTGTTTTCTGTTCCTTTTGGATCAGGGGATGCTGGGGGTGTGGGAGGAATAAGCTTCCCCTCCCCTACAATTCTAGCAGGTGAACTAACTTACCAGCTCTTTCTTCACCTCCTGCTTCTCATTCAGCTTCAAGTTGGCAGAAACCTGAGTGGGAGAGAGCAAATATTAACCTTCAGAAGCTGACTCTCCAGTCCTGCATCCAGCACATGAATGAAGATGTGTTCATTTTTAGTCTCTTGGAAATGGCAGAATTCTCTGTATGTAGCTCAGCTCTGGGGAGAACTTCTGGATGGAGAAGTTGCAGCATTATCAGTCAAAAGATATTGGCCTGCTTCACACAACACAAGCCAGAGTACAGATTAGAGTGTGGATTTTGGTCGGCCTGTGGATTTGTGCTGTGTGAACCCAGCTGTGCTCACAACCCACAGTTTATGAGCAAACGACAGACTGCAGGTTCCCTTTGACCACAGAACAATGGCCTTAAGTTAAAAGAAACCAGATTTGGACTGGATACCAGGAAGTATTTCCTCCCTGTCAGAGCAATATGACAGTGGAGCCAGCTGCCCGGAGATGTTATGGGCTCTCCCACACTAGGGGCATTCAACAGCTGTCCAGGCAGTCATCTGAATGGGATGGTGCAACTTATTGTCCTGCAACAGCTGAGGGTTGGACCTGAGGGACTTCTCGCCCCTTCCAACCCGATTCTATGATTTGCGGTTGTTCATGGGTTGTCAGCATGGCTGGGTCTGCATGGCACGATAACACACAGTCAGCCTCTATTCTGGCTTGCCTTGTTGTCCTGTTCCCATGGAAGGGAAATCCGTCAGTGGCTACTAGTCCTGGTGGCCACATGTTTACTCTAGTGTCAGAGACACCCTGCTGAGGGACACTGGTTGCTGGGGAACTGGATGGGAGCACACTGCTGTTGTGTCCCATGGGCTGGCCACCGTGTAAGGGGAATGCTGATCTAGACAGACCCCTGGTCAGATCTAGAAGGATTCTTCTTATGCTCTTATTCTGTCTCTCCCTCCTCAATGGGCTTTTGGGGTTAGAAAAAGCCTAGAAGAGTGGGTGGGTTACCAAGCGAAGAGACTGTCGTCCCCTGGTAGGAGTCCGTGACTGGCGTGGGGCGATGGCCCATGGAAACCCTCCTCTGGGAGCAAGCTGGGCCCCTTCCTGCTAGACCTGGCACACCCCGTCCCCCCCTCCGGCCTGCATCCCACCCCAGCGCCACTCACCATCATGGCCTCGCGCACAGTGAGGTGCGGCAACAGCATGTCGTCCTGCATGATGTAGCAAGACATCTTCCGGAAAGTGCGCAGCTCTCTCTGCCGCCCGTTCACAAGGATCTGCCCCTTCATGCCCGTCTCCCTGCAAGAACAAAGCAGCTCAGGCTGAGCAGGCCGTTTGCCTGCTTTGCAAAGCACATCGCAGATGGTGCCTGGCGTCCTCTCCTTCCACCTGTCCAGCTGGGCCAAGCCACTGCCTCTCAGCCATCAAAGCCAAACAGGGAAGGATGTGTATCTGGCGCCCGGGCCTCGTTCCAGATCTGCCCCAGCCCAAACCCTCCAGCACGGACATCATGCGCCACCCACGGGTCTCCCGCAAATGTGTCTCCTCTCTCTTGCTGGCCCTGGAGGTCCTTTCTAGAATGCACGCATTTCTCTCCTCAAAGCCTTCCTCCCCGCGAGGCCCTTTGGGGCATCCCCTTCGTTCTCATCTCTGAAGCTAAGTCTGTGCCGGTGAGCCATCTCTGTCTTGCCCCTGCTCTGTGTGAAGCTTGGGATGGGAAGCTCCTTGGGGCAGAAACAGTCTTCTTGGAAAATCACGCATGTTGATTGTGCAACGTGAATTTGATGGTAGCCACCCCATCAGTGGGGCAACAGGGGTGACTACACAAGCAAATATCCCAAACCCCTCTAGTCAAACATCAGCCTTTTAAAGAGACGGGAGTGCTGCCTCACCGGTACCCAGCCAGGATGTTCATGAGAGTGGATTTCCCAGCTCCAGAAGGACCCATGATCCCAATGAGCTCGCGGCGGCAAAATTTTCCTGACAAACATTTCAGCAATGTCTTGTATCCTGGAGCAGAAAGAGAGAGGAAGGAAAGATGAGCCAGCTGCAAAGCTCCGGAGAGGTCCTTGGGGTGGTGTGAACAGGCCTTCAGGATCTCCTTGGGGTCTGGTTTTGTTTGCTGCACTTTGACCTGAGCATTGCTTTTGTCACGGGAATCGGACCTCCTGCAAAGATCTGCCACAGTTCCTGCTCCATCTTTTTATTTATTTATTTTATTTATTAAACCATTTCTATGCCGCCCCATTCGCCGAAGCCTCGGGGCGGCTCACAACATAAAGTTAAAATACAAAAAATAAATCTTCTTCCCATTCCCTGTCCTGCAGAGCTCAGGTTTTTAAAAATCCATTTTATGTTTAGACCATCCAGCGACCAACGTCATGGGGACGATGTGCGGGTAAACTTTAAAAAAAATCACACTAAAACGATGCCGTTAAAATAGCAGAAACAAAAACAGTGCAGCTTATAAGAGGGCTAAAGGAAAGCAGTAGCTATAAAACTATCATTTTACTTACAAATAATTGCAGTAATTCCCCTGAAAAAGATTTGGAAATTGCAAGAACGGCCTGGCAGATATACAGAGGGCAATATTAAAACAAGGGGTAGACCCTCTCTTATGCTGCATAGGCAAGTGAGGGACCTCTTCTCCAACTTTATAATGAAGCAACAGATTTTTGCTTCATGTTTAACGTAGATGAGTTAACAAGCAACCTGAATGATCACATGTTGACGATTCAAGTATTATGAGTTTTAACTTGAAGGAAATAACAAAAATAAATGAAAAAATAGACAACAGTGTTCCAAAACATGCATTTTTTGACATTGGCAAATGGAGAAAACGTCTTTTCAAGGTATTCTTGTAGTCCCAACTTCTCTAGGAGAGGATTTTTTAAACCCCAGAGACAAGCCCTTTTCTTCCCAAATGCAAGAGAGATGAAGTGAGCCAGTTCTAGCATTCGCAAATTGCAATGCTTGCCCCTTTGCTAGGGGTTCTGTTGGCTTCCCCCACACTCTTCTGGTTGGGTTCCTGTGCCTTCAACAACTGGCAGCCCATGCTGACATTCTCCCATGCCTGCATCCCCTCTGCATGCCAGGGCAGAGCATTACCTGTTGAATTGCTGCCAGTCACAGCCACCAAAAAAAAAATGCTGGCAGAAAGAAGTGGCACCTTTCTGCCTAGCTGCAGGGAAACATCGTACTGAATAATGGAATAATAATGGAGCAAACCCTGTCGCATTTGTCTCACCCTCTGCAGGAATGTGGCACCCCCAAGACTTTTGGGTGGAGAAGGGTTTGCCCCGCAGGGCAAGCCCGCCAATTCTTACCCAAGCCGGGTTTCCTTCTCAGCTTCAGAGGCGCTCCGAAGTGCTGAACCTGTTCGGTGGATGCAATTCAGCACCTTGGGCAGCTCCGATCCACCCCGTTGTTCCCCGGGCTTGCCTCAGCCTCCCTTCCGCAGGCGCCCCATCCAGCCGCTGCTGTGGCCAGGCCCAGCCAGACGCTTCCTGGAACATCCTGCCCAAACCTGCGTGCTGGAATCAAGCTTTGCCCGCCGGCTGCCGCGTTCCAGGAAGGCAGCTGAGGTCAGTGCTCATCCTCCTGCCCCAAATGGACTGCAGAGCCTGGCAGACTGTCAAGAAGCAGGTTTTTCGGACCGGCAGCGACTGCGATGCAGAAGCAGCTGGGGAAGCGCCAGGGAGAGTGAGGAAGGGACAACCCGATGCCGCCTGGGCCTGGCAGGGGACGTGGCACCGCTATGGGGACGGACACTGGGTTACATGCTCAGACTTTCTGCTCCCAGTTATTGATCCAGCTGCCAGATTTGTACAAGCTCCAGCTTCTGCACAGTCTTCAAGGGCCGCCCCATGCAGAATGCTTTGCCGTGCATGACTTTGGAGGCCACCAGAGCAGAGGTGGTAGAAGGCCAAATTATTCCTGTCCAGAGAGACACATAGTGGGCCCCCAGCCAAAGCTGGCAGGACGAACACCGTGCCAGAGGCCCAAGCGATGAAGAATCCGCAGGGCCAAGCCCTCTTCCCCAAGACCACTGGGCAGCCACGTAAACACGAACTGTTGCAGTGCAGGGCCTGCCATTCCCTCCCAGGCCGTTGCTGAGAAGAACACCATGGCTGGCAGGGGCAAAGGCTGCCCACAGAGGGTCACTGTGTTTGGGGTTTTGCCTCTGGATTCACGCCCACTGGAGGCAAAGAAGAAAAGAGCCACCCAAAATGAACATGCACGGAAATTGAATAAACACACGCCAGAGAGATATGGATGATGCACACTTAATGATACCTCCTGTGGTTTTTGCTTCGCTAAGATCAGTCCCCTGGGGCTGCTTAGAAGAATGGGAAAGGGTTGCTTTGGGAGCAGGTGTTTAGACCTTTATTCCAAGTCCTTTCCCCTGGGGTAAATCGCTCCCAAAGATGCTGGCAACGGAGCGGGGAGAGGTGGCAGCCCACCAAAAAGGCAGGGGCTTCGTGGAATCCAACCATGTACAAAGCTGTGTAAATTTTGCCCCCAAATTCTTAGGGGACAAAAACTGGCATCAATGGTTTTAGAAGGACCCACCTCTAGATTCACTAGGTGGTGGGGTGGACTGTGGGCGTGTGGGGTGGGGTGGGGGGAGGGGTTATGATAGCAAAGCCATCCTGGGAATCACCGCTAGAGGGAGCCAAAGCCACGCAATTTCTTTCCACCCTGGGGAAAGCGAGTCCAACAGCTGGGGTTCAAAGCGCTCTCTTTGCCCAGTTATTTTGGGCACATCCGTGCCTCTGTTCTGCCTCTGCAAACATGCAAATACTAATGATATTGGACTTCTGCAAAGCTCAGAGAACCAGGAAATTTCTGAGCCCCCAATCCTACCCTGTCTCTGCTTCTCACCAACTGCTGCCCTGCCAGATGTTTTGGACTCTCTCTCCCAGCATTCCAGTCAAGTAGACGTGCATGCCAGCTGGGGTGTGTGGAAGCTGAAATCCCAAACAACCAGAGGGTGCAAGGATAGGGAGCTTGCAGGATGCAGCATGGACTCCTCTCTAACCAGGTGGGGCCCCCACAGTCCCCCCGAGGCTTTGGAGGCGTGGCACTTGCTGGAGTCAAGGGGAGGCGTGGTGTGATGGGGCACCTGCCAAGGCCCACCTCCAGCAGGTTGCCCCTAAGAGGAGCCGCCCAGACTTCCTTCCTCTCTCCACCTGCTTGCCCTCCACCTCCCTCGCTGGCCCAGGTGAGGGGGTGGGCAGAAGGGGGCGGGGGGCATGCTGCCTCGGCTCCATATCTGCCTACCTGCCCCTCCAGCCTGCGGGGACTCGGTTGTGGGTGCCAGCCCCGAGAGTCCCTGCAAGCCTGGAAACCTCTCAGCTTAGCACCTGCTAATCGCATGGGGCATTACTGAGGCTTAGGGGTCCGATTAGCAGGGCTTTTTTGGTCACCAAAAGACGCTGGATGCATGTGGTTGTCGCTCGCCACCTGTCTCCCCAGAGGACCTGCCAATCAGGGGAGATCTGGGGCAGGCTGGGGCAGGTATGGGGGGAACTTCGTGGAAGTCCTCCGGAACAGAGAGCGGGCCAGGAGGGAAGCAGTCCTGCCGTGCAAACCCGGTGCACCTGCACCAGAGCTGCTAGCAGGCATGTGCAGGGTTACTGCCTATTCATGTGCTTACGGAATCCCAAAAAGACATGTGGGGGAAATACAAGCACCATCCATCTCCATTGCCTGTTCTGACAACATACCTATTAAGTTGAAGCTTGAGTGCCAAGCCGAAGCTGTGCCACATTTTGTTGGCATGAGCAGCATGCAGACTTCCCAATTCCACAGGACTCTTCCATGGGCCTGCTGCATTTGTGCCTGACCCAGAGCTCTGTGTGGTTTAGTTCTCCTTCATCAACCCAAGTCAGCTCAACCAACCTTGAAAAATTTCACCAAACTTCTTGTGGAACCCCGAGGACAACTGCCTATTTTAAATAAGTGACCACTCCAAAAAACAGACACGAAATCACAGTTGCTTCTGTACTGGCCCTACTTTGTCACTTTGCATTTCTTTGAAAACCTGGCTCCAAAAGATACGGGGTGGGAGTTTGGCAGCTGGGCATCTCTCAGATGTGCATCCTCATCAGGATTGCTGGTGGGTGTGTAGGAAGCTCAGGATTAGGGTTAAGCTTTACCCTCACTTGGGCAAGCTTAAAGCTTCCCCCCACCCTACCCCACCCCACCCCCCAAATCCAGAGATCTTGCTCAAGATTTTGGGAAGAAAGCGAAGCCTTCGACCTCACCCTCCTCCCAGCCACTCTGCTGGGGAAGGGGACATGCAGACCCTCTTCCTGCAGCCCTGGGCTCTTGCCAGCCCCCCAGAGTTTTGCTGTCCTGGCCTACTACCAAGGCCCCACTGATGGCTTCTGTTCAGTGAGCTTGGGATTAAGGATTAATTGATTGTCCCTTAATTACTCAGCTCCTGTTCCCTCCAGGGAGGGAATTTCAAGACTAATGCCTTTAATTCCCCTCCCCTTTTAATTGCAAAATAAAATGGAGAGAAAGCGTAATATTTCACAAGACAATAAAGAAAAAGGGGAGGAAACCAGTAATCAGCACACTTCCCCCTCCTCACCCATGGAGTATAGTTATTGGCTAATTAGCCATCAATTAAGAGTTCCATTCACAATTCATTCCATTCCAGCACTAGAAAGAGGCAATCAGATCAGAAGCTACAAGAAGGAACCTTCTAATTAAAACGGCACAGGGGCTCTTTGGTGAAAGAGGAAAACATCCTGTGGAAGGGGCCAAGGAGGCCATCAAGTCCAACATCCTGCTATTGCAGGACACCAAGTTCACCATCCAGTTTCATTTTTGAGTGTCTCCAGTGTGGGAGAACCCATGACCTTGCTAGGCAACTGATTCCATTGCCATATTGCTCTGACAGTGAGGAAACTTCTCCTGATATCTAGCCTGAATCTGGCCTGTTGCAACCTGAGCTGATTCTTCCATGCCTTACAATCTGGTATCAGTGAGAAGAGATC